TAAAGATCTTTGGCAGAGAATCGTTGGGACCGCTCAGCCCGAGGCCGGGAGCGGGTAGCTGCTCGGGGTTGAAGTATTCAACTCCCTTGGCAGGGATATTCTGAACAATCTCCTTGTTTGCATCTTTAACTTCGGTGCCATTCTGGGAGGTGAGGATAGGAATGGCTTGAGAAGGTTGCTGTTGTTGGACAGTCATATTGGTTCTTGAGGTTTGGTGAAGAGAGACTCCCGATTGTGAATAGATAACTGATTGCTTGCTTGGATTCTGGAACAATTCGATGGAGCTAATCCTTTCTTAAGTAGATGGCTTAATGCAGTAACCTACAACCAGTGTTTTGATGGCAACGTTATGCATAGCGCTTGACAAATTCGATTTATTACGTCTTCCTTACTCATGCTTAGTTTACCGCCTGCTACAGATATTTGTACGTAAAGCCTTGCGGGACCCGGTTTGGAATCAGTTTTCGGATAACGGGACAAGCGAGACAAAGAATTATGACCCCTGACTCGTATACATATCCACTTTTATTCAAGACCTTTTCAGCACTGAATCGTTTTCGGGGATAATACGGAATCATCCGAGTAAACTACTGAAAAGACTAAACTCTTTAGACCTGGCGTTCGATCTTGGCAAGAACGTTACGAAAGGTTCTTTGCAAATTCGAGAATTATTAAGGGTTTGCATATGCCATTCCGTATTATGTCATATTCCACTGCTACCCACTTTGCTTTGGAAACAACGCTGTTCAAAGGCTGATTACACGAACTTTGCAAGATTCTACCATGCTCATTAGAAGCCACCAAAAGTCATCTACTTCAGCACCTTGAGCACCATCCACCAATTTAATCAGAGAACGGCTATAAAAGTCAATCGACTCATTATATGTTTTACTAGTCATAAATCATTTTTACAACCAAGTCTCACAATGTCTGCAAATCTCAAGCACCAAGCTGCCAGCGAGACAACCCCATTCGCATTCATATGGCGTCAGCTCTTCCAATCAATCCCCTCTATCCCAAACACCGTGGACCTATCTGGCCAAGTCGCTCTAATTACTGGATCCAATGTTGGCCTTGGCTTTGAAAGCGCACGCCAATTTCTTGCACTTAACCTCTCACACATGATTCTTGCCGTTCGATCTAAACCGCGAGGCGATGCTGCAGCAAAGAAACTCCAGGCTGAATTCCCCTTCGCAAAGATCGAAGTATCCGTCGTTGATATGTCGTCCTATAACTCGATTATGGCTTTCGCAAAACGATGCGAGACATTGCCACGGTTAGACATCGCCATCCTTAATGCAGGTCTATGCCAACCCAACTATGAACGCGCAGAGGAAACAGGTCACGAGACTATCTTCCAGATTAACTATCTCTCGACAGCTCTTCTTGCTCTCGTTCTCATTCCTATTCTAAGAGAGAAGCGTGGAACCACATCACCAGCGCGTCTAAGTCTCGTTGGCTCCGACACATCATATTATGCAAACTGGAAGGGCACAGATTCAGAGCCTATTATTCAAGTAATGGATAGCCCAGCCTATTTCAACTCGTGGGAGGCCTACAAGACCACCAAGACTTTGCTAGTTATGTTCGCACGCGAACTAAGTAAGCGCATACCCTCAAATGAAGTTATTATCAACGTATCGAATCCCGGGGCATGCAGAGGAACACAGTTTGGACATGCAGAGCGCTCAATGATGGAAGAAGCGGTGCTATATGTGGCATCGCTGGTTCTTGGACGGACTACCACAGTTGGTGCCCGGCAGTATGTGGATGCTGTGAAGGTGCAGGGGGCCGAGAGCCATGGTAGCTTTGTCAGCGAGGGCAAGACTAAGGCGTGAGTTTCCCCGAGTGGTTATGGATATATCATGAGTTGTGCTAACAGTACTTGTTTAGATTCCCACCGATTATGTATGAGCAGCGTGGAGTAGCCCTTCAAAATGCGTTATGGAATGAGACGATGAGAGAGTTTGCTTTTGCAGACTGTGGAAAGTTCTTAGCCAAGACCTTGATATCTTAAGGTTAGGATAGGATTGGTATTAATTATTTAAGTTATTTTACCCTGTTACTTTTCTCTGATTATAAATATAGCTAAAAGGACAACGTGGACATTTTTCTAAATAATTAAGGTAAATAAAATAAAGAAATAAATAAGATAAAATATAAAGATATAAGACAATAAGAAGAAAGAAAATATAACTTAATATAGTTAATATATATATATTAAATAAATAAGTAAATAAAATAAGAATCTCTTAAGTTATAACTAGTTTATTTAATTACTTAATTTTTAATAATCTATTATTTTTATTTTATTTTATTTTTATTTATTAATTTTCTTTTTTATAAATTCATATAATTTATCTTAATTATAAATTATAGTTTCTTAAGTAGGTAAATAACCTAGCTATTAGTATATTTAACTTATAATTTTATAAAACAAATAAATATAAAAAGCTAAAATAATTTAAGTAATTCTTTAGATAAAGGGTTAATAATAAAATTATAATATCATAGGTTAAAAGGTTGAAAGTAATTATTATAGCCCTCTTTATATAAAAAATTAAATATTAATAAGGTTACTTAAAGGAGGGATATTAAAATTATAATTATCTAAGCTATCTTATATCTTTAGAGAGTTTATTATTTTAATTATAATAGGCTAAGGATTATATATATTAGGATTTTAATAAATTTGGTCATAAGAAATTAAATAGGTATGTAATAAAACTTTACATACCCTGCAGGTACCAGCGTGGTTAGTTAGCTAAGTGAGGCGAGTGACCCGTTGATGGCTTGTGCTACTTAAAGAGATAGCTGGCAATCCTTACATAAAACGCCGTTAATGTGAGCCTAATCACGTATCCATGCACTACGTGATGATGCGGCTGTGTCGCGACTAGACCCTGTGGTGTCGGCAGTACTATCTGTTTTCGGTAGGTACGAAACAACTCTCCGGACTCAGCCAGTCTACTCTTTTATCCACCAAGTCAGTTCTCACACCCCGGTCAAGCTCGTCATCCGACGAGACTTGATTATTATTTTATAAATGGACAACTCAAATTGCATTGCTCAACTTATTAAAGCCTGGGCCCCAACATCCGTAGTATACTAAACCCGTCTCTACGGCTCTCCCAGCTTCACCATGGTGTGCTCCAGCAACCCAAAGCTTAATAAAACACTGCAGCAAGGTATGAAGTTTATATTGACATCATAATACATTAACAGAGAAAAAACCTGACATCCTGGCTATAACTTTGCTACTGTTCCTTCATTCCCCGCTTCAATAGCTCCGATTATATATTTTAAAACTGGCAGCAGCATGTACTTGGTTATGTTTCAAAAACAATTCGCACGCCGCTGACGTGTCAAACAGTAGCGGCGGCGGAAATGGTCCCAATCACAATCCCAGTAGAAATTAGGCATGGTCTCGACCAGTGAGTGGCGTCACATCGAAAACAAGGTCCTAATACCCCGAGAGGGGACCTTAGACGAATTGAGTACGGCCGGTGACAGGTTGTTATGGACGTGCCGTCCACTGAAGATGAAACCCTTTTGCGTACGGCTTTGACTGTCGCAAGGGCAGGCAAGGGCAGGCAAGGACAGTCAACATGGACAAACTACTGTAATTAACAAGAAGCTGTTTGAATGCTACGAGAGGGCCGTAGCGAAGTCTCTTAAGCTACCAATGAAAGCATAATCCCTGGGAGGACCGGGTATCTGCTCATGGCGACCAACTGAAGGCTGGTAATCCAATGATCGAGTAAAGAAAGCGAATGGGGTGAAGTATGGCGGGAGAGAAAAGTGTGTGAGGTATAGGAGAATTCTGCCCGTCGGTGTGGCTGCCATGGACCATAACCCGATCCTTTGTGGGTCCTATTACCAAGTAATCCTGAACGGAAGCATCGGAGTCCGACCTTCGTGGGCCGATGAAAGTGTCGCCTAACTTACGGTAGGAAATGCAAATAGCCTGTCTGAACTTCAAAGTCAGCTTAAGAACAAAACCCTTTCGGCTTTCATCTAGCCCTTGCCGAGCATAAATTGAGAGGACAGAGGCAAGACATAGCGGCTCCTGCTCTTATCCACATAGCCCCTCCTCTGCATATATCATGAACCAAATCAGCGGCTTAAATTTAGAGACGACAGGTAGGTTCAATTCCGGGTTCGGAACTTGGCCCATGCTCGGTCTAATTGTTGCGGCTGTAGTGGTGGTAGCGGTCCTCCTCGCCTTTGGCCTGTCAGTATTCTTTTTCTAGTGACCTGAATCTCTACACTGACGATGGAAGTGCATCTTTAACCAAAGAAGGCAACGCCCTAGGGCACAGGTGGATGTTGAGAGTCATGGGGATGCTGTGAGCGATATAACTATTCTCCAGACTCTTAACTCCACCAATCCATCCCAAACCTACAAAGTTTCTCGCGTATCTAAATCTCAGACGGCCATAGCCCAGCATAATTCCGACTCATTAGAAGTGTGGTATGTTCTGATTTCTTTCCCCGACTACCAGTATTAAGACACTATAGCGCGATCTGTCCTGAAGTCTTTAGAGACTTAGATACCGTTCGACGATTAAATTGCGAACATTTATTGCAAAGGAAGTGCATCGACCTATGGCTTCAAAAGCAGCATGTCAATTGTCCACTATGCAAGTCGGTATATGTTGCACGGCCGGAAGGAAACATGGAAGTTCAGCGGGCTAAGGTTAACGAAAGGCGTAATTCTGAGGGTGAGAGTTCATAGCTTTAATTCGTACCGTATGTAGGTTACTTAGGCTTGCTAGTCTACTGATACCAGCTTAATATTAAAACTACCTTATGTAGGATATGCGGTCGAAACTTTTGCCATGCGGTGTTTGAGATGTATGCGACTAAATAAGTTCATTTTATTTGCCCTCAAATTCCTTTCCACGAAATCCTTCGACACACTCTCAACAACATCTCCTCTGCTGAACCAAGACACCGTATTACGCCGGGGCGATTATTGAGTGGGCGTCCCTTTTCCTCTAACAGACTGAGTGGGTCTTGCCCGTCTTGCCCTGGAGAGAATGTGTCTCGTTCTATTCGGTGTTAGCGGTACCTCACACTGACACTGGCCGAAAGAGCAGAATTGAGACAGGGAGACTAACTGCGTAGGCAGGGTGAGCTTTCTCACCCTTGCCTGTCGACGTGACGTGCTTGTTGATATGTTCCTGCAACATCTTGGCGGTCTCCTGATCCATATCTTTGAGGAGACGGTGGCAGATCAGAAGGTCCTCGATAAGTGAGTCGCAACGCGACCGGGTGAAATCTTCCCTCACGACAATGCGAAGCATTTTGACATTAGACTTGGGCGCCATAGTATACGCAGGGACCACCCAGCCTCGACAACGAAGGTGGTGTGCGAGCGCGAACTCGTCGTAGTGACGATCCTCGCCACCCTCTTCCAGGGTGCGGAATCGGAAGGCTACAAGGGGCAATCCTCTTCCATTGCGCTCTGACATAATTAAAAACCCCTGCTTCTCGATTGCCTCCGCTAGGTAATCTGCGTTGCGAGTCAAGTTACTCATGATGCTATGGTAACCATGTTTACCAAGGCGGATCAGTTGATAATACTGGCCAATAACCTGGGAAGCGCTTTTTGAAAAATTAAGAGTAAAAGACGATTGGTTAGCCCCGAGGTAATTAATATTAAAAACCAGCTCCTGGGGAAGGTATTCTGGGGCTCGCCAGATGACCCAGCCGACGCCAGGGTAGACAAGACCGTACTAGTCATATAATCAATATATATGGAAAGTCTCAAAAGAACAGGAGGGGGTCCGGTACCTTGTGGCCAGAGACGTTGATAGAAACGACTTTTTCGCATCGAAAATCCCACTCGAGGTCGGGGATAATAAACGGGGCAACAAAACCACCGCTCGCAGCGTCCACATGGATAGGTATATCAATATTCCGTTCAATAAGAAGGTCATTAAGACCTTTGACGTCTTCGTATTCGCCGGTATAGGTCGTGCCGAGGATCATACAGATGCCGATAGTATTCTCATCGCATAGGTTAATAGCCTCAGCAGGATCAAGGACATAGCGGTCGGACGTGCAATAAACAAACCTCTCCTCGATCTCAAAATAGCGCATGGCCTTCTCCCAGACGACCTGAACTGCCGAGGACATAACGAAATTAGGACTATCAGTGGCCTTACCCTGTGCAAGTCTCCGTGCTTTCCACCTTCTTTTCATAGCGAGAACAGCGAGCATAATGGCCTCTGACGAGCCAATAGTAGAAGTTCCGACAGAGAGGCCAGCAGGCGCGTGGAATAGATTGCCCATTATACTAACACAGCGGTTTTGAATGTCGGCAGATTGGGGGTATTCCTCGTAGTCAATAAAGTTTTTAGGAAATGCTTCTGACATCAGCTGCTGGGCTTCGTCCTCCTGTATATTTGGACGGAATCATCCGCATGTTAGTCTGTGTGTCTGCTAGCGAGAGATTTGACTGATGGACACTATGGGTTGATAGACATGCGATCAGGGTATTGCGACTTCCTAAAGCTAAGACTTCAAATTCACAGGTTGATGCAGTGGCTTAATCGCAAAAGCAAGACAGTGGTTGAGGCAAGTTACCATGTAGGTGGTGACGAAGGAGGCCAGGCTTTGAAAATTAGTGTCACTATGATCAGGATTATGACTCCAGAACATACTTGAGGGTGGGGTTGTTATCGAGGCTAAGGTGATCCTTGATCAAGCGATAAGCAGTGTCACGAGGCATCTCACTCTCAGGCATCTGATGGCGTGGCAACTCCATGCGGGCGAATCGCGAGCCATAGCTTGCGGTTGTGAAGACATCCTCCTTGTCAGGGAGTTGCACCTGAGATGCCTTGGAGCCACGGGAGCGGGCAGTATGGACGACGGAAAGATGACCCATGATTTCAATGTATGAGGGTGCTGCGCTGCTGTTTCTATTGATAGAGTGGAGGTGGTCGTGATGAGTTCCTCCTGATGATATCCTTGACGTTGGTCTCAAGAGTAGGGATGGGAACCGGGAGGCCACCAGCTTCGTGGACTGTACTTAAAGAGAAATTCATATGTCACTATTAAGCTGGAAGCAGAGCAGCCGCACAGCTGTGATAGGGGTTGCGTCACCGTTGCGTCACCGTTGCGTCGTGGATCTCGCTAGTCAGTGGTTTGGGCTCACAAGAGGAGACTTGGGGCTGCCAAAACCAGTAGTTTTGGTATGCATAGATGCCGTACTAATTGAGAACAGAATCATGAGAAAAACCAAATAAACTCGATAGGCTATGGTCGCCCAATGGAAAATGGCGATAGTGGCCGATATAGACGTCATCGTAACGACATGGAACATAAAGACGGCACAGCACGCACGTGTTGAGCTATGGGACGGTGCAGCTACAGGGCTAGAATGATAAAGCAATATTACGGGAGTGGAAGATGATGTATTGTTTAAGAGCGTAAGGTACATGTGTCTGAAGGGAGCACAGCGCCTTACATAGTATCCACATCCAGTCACCAGCAGATCGGACCACCTCCCTCATACAGTCTCAACAAAGAAAGGCTACGAAGCGCTGAGCTAACCATATCCAGCTTTGAGTTCGCAGGGGTCCGTGACTGTTGTGGGTGCATCTATATTTGCATCATGAAGTCAATGAACTCGGGTTGCTCGGCTCAAGTGAATACTGTCGGCCGCCCTGTTCTGCAATCTGATGCTGTGGTTGGTCGCATCTGGAATAGAAGCAAGACTATTGCTATCATCACAATGACCTCCAAACGAAGGCATCGGCGAAAATTGTCTTCCGTGTTAAGTTGTATTGTCATCAAGAAGGTTTATTGATAACTGGAGTCTATGAAATTGCTAAAGAATGTGGTCTATATACTTGATGGTGGCCACGGTGTCTAGAGAGTGATCACGTAGTACTCTGAGCAATCACGAAGTGATTGCGTATAGGTCACGGTTGCTTCCTAGAAGGCTAATGGTGCCTACTAGGATTGCACGTGATGTGACTGCGAGGGTCGTAACAGGATCATTGGTGTTGTGAACTGATTATTGTTAATGAGTGATTGGTCGAAAAATGTGGATTTTCCTGCTGCTACACATGGCATAGCCATGAGGGTAGTAGCACCTCTAGATCCGCTCTTTAGAGAAGATACCTCATTTGAAGTCATCAACTACAGAAGATATGGTTTAACCGTTAGCCCGGCGCGCCCTCTGAAATCATTATCAGGCGGCCATTATGCGCTAGCGAACCATCCTCGGCTGATTGGTTGTAGAAAGCCCCGCGTCCCTAGCGGCGCGCTGAACAGGTGTTGATAGCGGCTACCCCCGAGTAGAGGAACTGGTACTACTGCTGTCTAGCGTTAACAAAAGTACGCTCCCTCTCACAACTGGAATAGGTAGAATGACAGCATCGGCCTAAGCCAAATCACCGGTCGCTTCCATATTGCCTCGTTTCAAAGAGGTCCCTGGGTAGCCGGCCTCAACTCTAGCGCAATCTCCAAGGTTAACGTTCGTGAACTTATCTCATCGTTCCTAGATTGACGCCAGTGCGTGGTTAAAGAAGTGATCGCATTTGACAGACTCACAGAGCGAGATGCCATCATCAATAAACCTACACAAATTTTATGCAAATCAGAAGCCTCCACATACTTTCACTATTGACTTTCGACAGTCAAGCTTCCTGTTTTTCATATAGCTACTGTAGCTCCTAATAATGAATCCTGCCACTGAAATAGCCCTTCCTGATCTCCTACCTACTCATTCCAGTCTTGTCCTACCTATGGCCCTTAAGCCGTGTCTTCAACTCACCTTTGCTCCTTTTCTCAACACCATCAACACCTGAGTTACCTTTCCAATCAATCTTTTCGCAGTAAAGTCAATGTACGAGGTGAATCAAGGCAGTCTTCAAATCCTACCCGACTCAGGGCTCTCATTTACAGAAGCCACTGGATCCCTTGGCGCCGCGAACCCTTCTGGACCCTCCCAGTCATGCCAGTTATCCGCCGACCGCGTGCGCTTTGATGTTCCTCTAGAACCTGTTCAATGACACACAACCGACACAACTTTCGCAGAAATGTCCCGGCGAAGCTTGGATGCGCCTAGACGAAACCTCTCGTATGCCCAGCGACACGTAGCCGACATCTACTACCATTCCCGAGCTGCCACCCAGAAAACATACCGGCGACGAGCAACGACCATTCTAGAGTACTGCGATGAGAATCCTCATTTGCTTCCACAACTACCGTTTACGTAACACCAAGGCTGGAAGCGCTGGAAGCTCTTCATCTTTGCCCTTCTAGTCTTTGTCAATGCATCGGTCATTCCAATCACTCTTTATTACGGCATGCGCTACGCTGGCGAAGTCGAGGGATGGATCATCTTTGCAATTGTGGCCACCATTTGGGGCGGTCCTACTTATCTCGAGTTCGCCATCCGTACGCTCCGATTGATGAAAGTTGATAGATTCTACCGACCTCTCGGAACGAATTATCGGTGGTGCTTTGACATGCTGACCTAGGTATCGGTCCTCACCATCACTGTTGTCACTGCCCTCTTTACTGTCGGAAGTGCTCCTCACAATGTCTGGTTGCGAGTGTTGTGCATGCCTGCTCCAGAGATTCTCTACTGTCTTGGTGGCGTTCTGTTTCTCATCACCTTGTATAGTTACATGGGCTGGGCAGCACCGTTTCGAATTAGCTCAACGGCCAGAGGAGAAAAGGTACAAATGCATATCGAATCACAGAGGCTGCTCTTATGCTAACTCTCCGACTAAGGTACTGCCCGGTGTGTACTATTTTATCGAGGATATTGTGGCCGTCAATCCCGGTGGTGGCCGCCCATACCGAGAAGCTTTGGTTGCCCGTTACAAAGCTAGCCCTGGCTTCCGACGAATGATTTACATGCAGTCCTAGTTCTGGTCCATCACAGCCCTGAATCTCGCCATTCCCTTGACCATCATCTCAGTCATTCCTCAAGTACCTGCAACGGTTGCATACGGCGTCGCTTGGATAGTCCCCTTCATATGGACCACCATCTGGGGCATCATCACCATTCAGTGGTGTAAGAGGGATTTAGCTCGAGAAAGGCGAGAGTGGGAGGCAGCCATTTCGTGCGAAAAAAGGCTTCAAGAGGAAGAGCCAAAGAAATATAGATGTGGTGATGGTACCGAGTGTTGACGTTGACGAGTGATGACTCGAGCTGTGAAGTCAAAATTGAGGAAGGATGCCAATATACCGTATATAGCTCTGGTGTTTAGGCAGTCGATTGCGATTATTAACCACTAGAACGAAGCTGGTATATTTAGCATTGATAATAATTATGCGGTATTACAAGCTCAGGCCTCTGGGACCGCATTCAACGCTTTTGCATAGAGGAGCATTTGCATTGAAGACCTATGAAGATGTAGCGACTGTAGGGGAGGTCATTAAGCAAGCCGTCCTGACGGCCATATATCTCTAGGTAACCGGCAGGAGTGCGAGGGTGGGGCGTCATCAGCGTGGGACATGACTCTTGAAAGGCGCATCTGTATAGTTTCAAGCTTGCTCGGAAGGGAGTTTTCCGTGGCGGAATCAGCATTGTCCTAAATGATTACCGGCCCCAAAGCGACGCGTGTCCATCGCCACCATCATCCTCACGCAGCTGCATTGACCAGGACTCTTGGGGGCCTGAAAAGAGGCAGAGAAGGCACTGCCAAAGCTGTGCCAGGAAATGATCGCGTATTTCGAAGATGCTTAAAAACCGATGTCAATTCTTAGACAGACTAGCCAGTACCGTTGGATGGTGATTGCCGTTTAGAGATTCCTCTTGCTGAGCCAAAGTATATGCCTGGCCTAGACTACCGCTATCTTCAGCGCTGCCACAGGTCAAATGCAATCAAACAACTTCCAAAAGCAACTAAATATGCCAAAATCATATTTTATATAAAACAAATTTGAAACGCTGGATTTGAAATGCTATTAGATATGTTTTATATGTTATATGCATCCCCGGTTTAAATAGATCTCGTATATCAATCTACTCCCTTATGCCTTTAAGGGATTTCTTATTTATTAAGTATCTATAACTGACTATTCCTGCTCTAATCTGGTGACTCTTAGGGTTACTTTTTTATTAAATACTTTATTTAATAATACGAATCATAATATTTAGGGTTATGGATTTAGTGCATGGTTATGTATAGAGAATTACTTATCTAGGCGATATTAGATAGTCTACTAAAGATTCTTTAATTAAAAATAAGAATTTACAGCTACTTCCTGGATTAGCCATCTTCCATTAGCGCTCTACTAATGCAATAGGAGGCGAGTATAATCGATTGTAAACATATATAACTGTTTGCCTGCCACTCTTCCTTCTAGTTCACTTCCAGGGGGTAAAGCTGTAATCCCCTTGTAGCCCCCTGTAGGGCTTAATATATTTTACATACTTGTTGATTCTGAATCTTGCTGCTTATATACGGGTATTCGTCTTGATAGCATTTAACTTGGAATGATCTATTTAGTTAATTTCTTTTCTTTTTCCTTAAGCTTTTCTTTAATTAAAACCTATATAACTGGCCCTGGACACTTCGTTGATAAACGCTACCTATTGGGATTGAGGGGCTGGTTATCAACTCTGTCATCCTGACCGAGAGAATCCGTTGGTGGACCACTCCGTCCAGACACAACCAAGATAGATTCAATAATGCCGGAGGGTTTAATCATGGTAAGCCAGGCATGAACACCAATTGGACCTCCATGGTATAGCCTCGGGCGCTGGCCAGGTCGGTCCATTGTTACATAGCTTCCGTGACTATTCTTAACATAAACGCGCCAGGAATATACCCATAAAAAGAATAGCGACAGAGGGGCCATCTCTATACAGATAAGTAAATTAGGAATCCCGATATGGAGATCTGCAAAGGTCAACGTGTCTGTCTCTTTCAGTACCCCAATATCCGTAAGGACCCAGAATAGTATCTAAAAATGGGCAATCAGCGCAACAGTTTCTCTTTTTTCAGCACAAGCTGGCAAGGACGGGCAGCCTTACTCCTTGTACAAAATTTAAGAATACGATGATCTTAAAGGCTATTAATTTCAGAAGAGGTCGGCGCTGTGTAAGGTCTGTTTTCAGCAAGTGGTAAAACTGTAGAATAGACAGTACGGCGGTGACCAAGGAGATTATCTGAATCAAGCGTAGCCAAAACTTGGCAAAATGAGGCATGAAGCTCCATCGGCAATAGATCCCGACAGCCGCAGTGACATCAGTTGCGATTGACACAATAAGTGCAACGATCGGCATTTGGAAGACCATGAGCCAGCGAATCTGATTATATAATATTAGCATGCATTGAGATGCAAAGATATTTCCAGCCATCATACCCTGAACCATTTTACTCCACTTGTCTTCTTCGTCGCAAAAAAGAGTTCGCGTTGATTGATGTTGGGGCAGACGTAGTCGCAAAGGAGCAGGAAGAACGAACAGAAGGCGAGACCTTCAACGAGGCTCACCCAGGGATCGATATATACTTCCGCTGTAGGGAAGCAGACTGAAAGGAATGATATGAGAGAATACATGGTGATGAGGGTACTAATGCGCATAATTCCGGAAGCAAATTCTGATTAGCGATCAATTTACAAAACCCTTTTTGGAATCTACCTACTTGACCTGCTCTGATGTGTTTGAAAGATGTATTGCATGAAGTTGTTTGAAGACCATCATAACGGTGATGGTAAATGCAGCGCATGTTCCAGATATGATAATATTCAGGTCATAGAACGTCATGCCCCCAACGAAATCGTTCGGGGCATCTGCTTGTTATTAGCAAACTTCGCATCGTGATAAGTGGATCTTTATACCTTTATTCAAAGAGGGATTAGGGCATATTTTGTGTGTGCGTGATGAATGATGATGGAATATACCCATGTCACCAGCGTATCTACTTCGAGTTGAAAGAGGTTCCGCTGCAGAGCAAAGTGTCCTGTGTTGTTTATGGAAGTGATCAAGTATTGCCAAGATTGAAAGCCAGAAGAAGACAGATATTACTATTCTGGCCGGTCCGATCGATGAAATCATTGTGAAATCAGTGGAGGCATGGAGACGCCACCTGATAGCCAACGGCGCCAGCCACGCGCCGGCTCCTGGGCTCGTGTTGGTTCGCTATAACGTGACGCCGACATCCGAAACTAATTGTAAATTTACAACGCCCTACTCTTGTCACACTTATCTGACGACGACGTCTGTTAGACCGCGTTGAACATTCTACTGTAACAAGGGCTCGCTGTAATACGCCGAATTACACAGAATTTGGCCCGTGCACATAGCAAGGTTCAGCTAAATTCGAGTACGATCACTATGCCACTATTTATTCTTCATTCTAATTACAATTTCCAAATAATACACATTGGTAAGATCTTGCCTACTTGCCTTTATTGCAGGAAAATATAAATAATATAAGAATTAATACCCCTCTTTAAATTATATCCTTATAGGTTTAGGTAAGTTGCCCTGCTTATTAAATACAAGAAGAGTTAGCTCTAAGCAATTAGGGGTATAAAATGGTAAAAGAGTTATATAATTCTTCACCTAAATGCTAAAAGATATTTATTACTCTTATTCTTTACTAAGTTATATAATTACCTTTAATATATAAAATATATTATTTAATACTTTATAAAAGTTAACATATTAGCTATTAATAAGACTTCTTTATATTAATAAGCCTAATATATATTACTTAATTATTAAGAGATAAAATAACTAATACCTATATAGTATACTACCTTATATAATATATAAATATAAATCTAATAAAGACAAGTTTCTATATTTAAAACCTTAAGTATTATAAATAGCTTTTAAATAGAATATCTTATTATATATTAGATAGCAGCATAAAGTATAAGATATAATATTATTCCTTAACTGGCACTAGACTTCTAGTTTATTAGTTGTTCCCCTAAAGGTTTTAGTAACGTATATTAGTGACTTTTCTAATTTATAGATGTATTTCCCTAGATTCTGGGATCATTACGTGCCGACTTTACCTTCTGTTTGTAAGACAGAACGGTGAACTCTTTTCTTCTTAGAGTTGGATACTCCAATAAATGCATTTCTTTACGTCGCATTACTAGTTACACTATACGCTTCAATATCAATCACTTCGGTCTCGGCCTCGAGAATTGGGGGCATCACTTAAATAAATAAACAAGTATACGGAAAAAGCCATTTAAACTTACCATAAGATTCCACCTGTATATATCTGCCTTAACTAATTATAATCTGTAGGGGTTACATTAGGGTTTAGTAAATTCTTGACATCTAGTTGTCTGTCCCTCTATCGTTTGATTGTGTATATACGGCGACGACGAATCACTTCATCACAGTTTGCCTTTTTCCTGCTTAACTCGTTTTTAACGGTGCACACAAGACAATACTCATACTACAGTCGACAAATCTCCTTTCAGATGCTACGGCTGACCTTAATTAGCCAAAAGAACTCTGCTTACAAAGAAGTCATCATCAACGTCTCTCTCGTCACGCAGTTAAAAGAAACTCGGAAATGTCGCTACGTTGCGAAAAACTCCCTGTTACGGGGATGGTTCTTCTACTCCCTTATACACAGCCAACCCTCACACTCATTTAGACCAAGGCCTTGAGAAACACCATCCACAGTAGACTTCCATGCAACTAAACTCCTTGTAACATGATTTGAAGGGTTCCGAGCAAGTTTCTGAGTCTTGCGGGACTGCCGGGTCGAACGGAAGAGTATCCTTCGTGAATACGAGACTTCTAGTGCCAAAGTATCTCTGTCATATATTAATTGAAGCACCTTTGAGCACAGCTTTGCACGAAGCAGGAGTAGCAATAGACAAGATCCACAAAATGGCAGATGCCATGTCTCTGCAGCTCGTGGTTAAATTATAACATGATACTAGGTAACTTGGTATATTTCACTAGTAATAGTACACCTTGTGTTTCTATGCTGCTCGCTGACCTTTATCTCAGACTAGATCCACGGGGACATACTTAGTCCAATCACCGTCGGCCGCAAGGAAATCAAGCGGCTCCATGTGTTCCACTGCGCCTCCATAGGGGAGGCTGACGTAGTATCCCAAAAATCTTTGGATATCCTTAGGGAGCGTTTTGATAATCTCATATGGTACGGCTAAATACTGATTTTCTTCCTGGCGGCACCATCCTGGCGTCGTGAAGGCGCTGAGCAACAGACTAGCCTCGTTCGTGGTGTTTGGCTTCTGGCCGTAGAAGACAGACCCTAGACTGCAAATGGTGAGAATGAATTTTGAGAATATCTGAAAGTTATGAATTGAACTCACCAAAGAACAGCATCCCCTTTCTTCAACTCGATTAGAGTCTCATCAGCAGAGGTGGGATCTCGAGTGTCTCTCCACATGTTGGAGCCGATGACAGCTCGAATGGCACCGTTATCTCTGGTGATGTCAGTCGCTGCATAGGCGATACCAAAATCGGTTTCCCGTTTGGCGGGATGAATGGTGTGATGACAATCGTCCTGGCGGCGAAGCCCCCAGCCGGAAGACCTTGGCTTAGAGAATAAGGCAGACGTAAAAGATACTTGAGGCTCAGCAGTAGAAACAGTTCTTTCGTCAGAATAGTAAATAGTGCAGGTATCAGTGAGAAGGCGTTTTGTAAGGTCGATGAAGAGGTCATTCATCAAAAGCTCGGTGGCAAAGGTTCGACTCTTGCCAATCAGACCAAAGGTTTGACCATCAGCCAGCGGTCCTATCTCATGGAGAGCGGAGTCTAACGTTGCGGTCTTGGCTGCACCTTTAATAACGACGATGCCATCTGCCTTGAGAGTCTGAAGGACATCGTGGGCTTGAGCTGAAGCGACGAATCTCTTAACACTAGACATAGTGGCGGTAGATATGAGCAATAGACAAGAGAGGAACAAGATGGTTTTGATATATTGAATGTTTGTCGGTATTTCCCTTGTAGACCTGGTCATTTAGGCTTCTTATACTGCCGTGGTACTTAAGGCATTTAGATCCGAAAGCGATAGTTATCCACTTGTCCATCGTATTTGACTACCCTCGGAAATGCTGTGACAGCCCCACTGCGATAAGATCTTGAATGGCTTGGCTTTCGCAACTGATAGCATTAGTATTTCCGGGTTGGGAAGTATTAATGCTATCAGTTCTTTTGGCTCATTTCCTATCCGTTTTTCTGACCTGTATTGCTATAATTAGGATAATACAGCAGCATTGCGCATATATATCGCTTTTATCAACCCAATTGTATTATTCATTCAGAGCAAAAATTACAATTGGAGTCGTCTTCCACCTGCAACTAAGCTTTCTTTCATTTTACTTTATTGAGCCTTTTGACAAAATGCCTAACCCTGCCCATCAGCGAAACAACCCGGAAATCACGGCGTTGCCAGCTACGGCCCCCATCGAAGAAATTGTCAGCGTGATACGCAGAGACGGAGGCATCATCATAAAGAATTTCATCACACCAGAAGAGGCAGATCGAATCCAGGCAGAGGCCGACCCTCACTATCAGAAGGTTGGCAAGTATGAGGGTACCCTGTTTCCTCCTACTGACCCGCCTCTGAGGTAAGTAACTCATATCCTGTTCAAGTGTTTTTTTTTTCTTTTGTGAGTGATTATTAAAATGGATTGTGCAGTGGCTTCGCGGGAAAGTCTCCAACATTTGCCCACAAAGCTATCAACCATCCTGTCTATCGCGAGGCATCAAAGGTGCTACTGAAAGAGGAGTCGTAAGCGTGGTATTCCCTTGACGTTCGAAGTTTTCATCTAATCAACGAGACACAAAGTTACCCTTTCCGTGATGGCAAGCGATACAAGTGCGTGTCTAACCCCGTCTTGGCCGTATCGGAAGCCTTTTCTCGTGGCCGATCTAAGGCTCAGCCCCTCCACCGGGACGACATGGCTCAACACTTTGACCATGTCGAAGGTAGCGGGGAGAGTTCTCTGCTAGGGTTGCTTGTTGCAGGCACTGTGCGTGTTGGCAGTATTACTTTCTCTTCTGATCAGCATGCTGACCTAACTGCAGAAATGTACTTTTGAGAATGGAGCCACCCAAGTCATTGTCGGCTCTCACCTCTGGCCCGAAGCAGCCATTTCTGGACCTGCCGACAGGTCCATGTGCTCGACGGCCGAGATGGAAAAGGGCGATGCTGTTATGATCACCGGTAGCGTGTGGCATGGTGCTGGAGCTAACATTACCGACGAGCGACGCAACATCTTTTCTTGTCACATGGTTCGTGGCTCATACCGGGCGGATGAGAACCAGTACTTGGCTATTCCTCTTGAGGTCATCAAGGACTACGACCCCGAGGTACAGTCATTGTTGGGTTACTCGGTTAGTCACCCAAATTGTGGCCATGTGGATATGAAAGATCCTATTGTCATGCTGGGCAGTAATGAAGATCCTTTCGGATACGGGAGCATTGAAGGGCAGGTTGTAGCCTAGACACACGGGATGCCTACATCTTTCGTGCTAGATTTAGTTTGAAATGAGATGAGTACATTCTTCTGTCTGTATTACTCGAATATTCGTCTATATCAATCAGCGCACAAATAAGGGGCAAAGGGGCATCTAGTGCCAGTTGAAATTCCTTATTCATTTTGTCCTGCTTTAATACCATGGTCAGGTGAAGGCTAAACAATATTTAATGCGACAAGAAAATAATTAAAAACACAATCTCATCCATTATAGTCCTTAAAACACTACGGTAGGTTATTAAATTTTATTGTCATCTCCAACATCTCTCGGTCTAACCGCAGCATTCACATCAACCGATTGTCATATCCTGTGCAGAACCAGGACCACGCTCTTGGGCGCCGGAAAGACATCGCTTTGAATCTCCTGTTTAAGGCGGACATCCTCTCCTGAGTTTAAACACCATTTGCCCGCAAGTAGCATCGTATATCAAGATTTATCCTTTCGAGTTAATAATATCTCTACGAGATATATCAAGCTAACATAACAAAAAACTCTAATTAACTCAGAGTTCAGGCAGAACTAGCTGCCTAGGCTATATATATCGAGCCTCAAGCAAAGGCATTCTAATTTGTTCACTCTATGGTATTACTACCACATTCAGCTCCGTGAGAGTGACAATTCAGGCTTGCAGGCTCGCCCTCATCGCACCTTCGACGTCTTTTTCGACAAGTCCAACGCCATGTACGTAATTAGCTAAAGGCTTCGAGATACAGGCTTCTTCTTACATGCATCTCTAGATCTTATACTAGCCATATTCTGTTCGATACGGTCCCTCCCAATCGCTTGTTTTGTCAAGAAATAGGTTGCTCTCCGGGGAACATGGCATACGAGAACACATAATGCAGGAGATAGTGCTACTGAGGGCCGATGGGTTTAGCAAGGAATGTGGGGCAACTTTATGCGGGGTTTACTGATAAAACCATATCTAACTATTATTCACCTAACGTTAGCCTTCGATTAACGTAGTTCAAGCTAACAAGTGAGCCTACTAGTGCTTATCTGGAAGAATCTGTCCAATCAAGAACTATGATGACTACGGGCGTTATCTCTCCTGGTTCTTATCTCTTTCACATTCAGTTGATATCACCTAGAGGGCTTTCATTGATAGCACTATGATATCCTGTCTTGGATTAGTCCGATATTCAACATCGAATCGCTAAACAATCAGTTAACCGAACCGCATTTTGTGCCACTTTGAATTACTGAATGGACTTCTCATAGTGATGATGGGATACCAGATGGCTTTAGCATATCACAGAGCCTCTTTAAAAAGCTAGACGATGATAGTGATACTACAACAGCCTGCGATACAGATAAAGTTTCGCTCGTGAATTCACAGAAGCTGGATGATGATAAATACTTAAGACGGTTGCCGCAGCTCCCTAGTATCTCAAAGTCATTCCATAACTCCTTCTAACTATTCATTATGGCTACTCAGATCAATCCCTCGAAAGGTCAACACCTTCCGCACACTTTTGGCCTCTGGAGCGGCATAAGCATAGGATGGCTTACCATCAATTCCTTCGGTGGAATATCCTTTATTTTGTTCATAAGTCTCTCGGCCGGTGGTCTTCCCACTCTCGTCTATGGCTAGTAAGTCTGGAAGCCCTTCCGCGCATCGTCTTCAATGCCGAAGTTGATACAAACCTGTTTTAAAGCACGGCGTCGAGTCTTTGCGTCATGTGTATCATGCTCGTCTTCGCGCAATGCTCTGCAAGATTCGCTACTGCTGGTATGTCGACCATCCACAGCTTGTCAACCGTACTGATATTTGCCAGGCGGCGCTTATCACTACGCCGTCTTTCTCACCCCTGAAAAGTACAGGCGACAGGTTGCCTATCCTCTCGGTTGGCTGAACTATGCTGGCTGGGTCCTGACTCACGCGGCCTGCTGTGCTGTTACCGCCACCTTGTTTCTGGCACTGATCAATCTCTGTGACGCGGACTTTGACGTGACTGTTCGATGGCGTCTTTTCGTCGCATACATGATTGTCGCAATGGGCTGCTGGCTCGTTAATCTCTTTGGGCTGAGGGGAATCCCCACGCTGGAGAATATTGGTTGTGAGTACAAGTATCGCTGCTACTCTCCCGTAAGTCGATGTGCTGACTAATAGAGGCTGGGCAACCGTCATTGGTTTCATTGCTTTCTCTGTATTGCTCCTTGTGAAGGCTCCAAAGGCTCCCGCGAGTTTCGTCTTTGTAGAAACGAGCGACAGAACCGGGTTCGTGTCAGATGAAAATGCGTTCGTCGTCCAGCTTGCTAATCAAGTGGTAACTAGATACTCTTCTACGGGATTCGCAGTTCTACTCGGATTAATGAATAGTTTCTCAACTCTGATGGGTCTCGATGGCCCAGCGCACCTAGCTGAGGAGATTCCACAGCCTAAGCGTTTTCTCCCCCGCATCATGATCATCGTCATCCTCAGTCAGTTTGCCATTGGTCTTGTTTGGATTCTTATCCTTGGCTTTTCTGTCAAAGACTTGGATGCTATTGTTGCAACATCTACTGGGTGAGAGCGATAGCTTGGTCCTGCTGGATATTGCTAACGCGCTGCAGGGTCCCCGTGCTCGAAATCATTCGACTCGCTATTGGCAGCCGGGCAGCAGCAATAGTGTTCTGTTGCATTCTACTCGTGAACATGGTCGCATCATCTCTTGGTTCGGCCATAACGATGAGTCGTCAAGGTTATGCATTCGCCCGAGATAATGGTCTCTTTTGGAATGACAAGTATGAGTTGAACGACTTCCATCCCAACAGAATATCCACAGCTGACATTTCACAAGGCTGGTGCACTTGTCTCCTAGCACAAACCTTCCTGTGTGGTCAATCAACCTCTCATGTGTGATTGTGTTTGCTATTGGTCTAATGTGAGATAGAAAGTCTTCAACGTTGAGGCTTTCCTAACGCATCCCAGTTATCTTTTTTCCCTCACCGCATTCAACGCTATAATAGGTGCACAAGCTGTTTGCCAGATCATCAGCTTCGGTATGACCCTTGCTTCATTCTTGGTTCTTCCATTCTTAATATAGCAACAGGGTTTCCCGCACTCGTCCTTCTGTTGACCAAAAGATCAATGCTCCATGCAAGTCCTCGCTGGGACTTTGGAGTTTGGTCAAACCCGGTGTACATTGTCGCTATTCTATACTCTGTCCTCGTTATCATCGTGGCATTCGTGTGTCCCTGTCCCATTCCTAATGCTCATTCTGGGGGCTGACAGTGCGCTAGATCCCGCAAACCCATCCTTTGACTGCCGACACTATGAACTATACCGTCTTGATCATGACATGCTTGGCTGTTGCAATGATTGCCGGATGGCTGTCCGAGGGTCGCGGCAAGTTCTCTCCTCTCAGGAACGTCGATATAGATTCAGATGTCCAGGTCATTGAGGGCTTGGAAGAAGATGTCGAGCAATGCGACCAGGATAAGCGACAAAAGGCGCACGTCATAGCTCACGACCAAACTGCATAGTGCTGATGGAGTAACCTATACTGTAGATTGAAGTGTTAGAGTAATTCTTACTTGGCTACGGTATATTGGCCATATCAACAATAGGCTGGCTCGTCCCAGCGTCTATAATACACTTTTCACCCAATTCATGCAGAGTTTGAAACAGTGCTCTCTTGCGTATATCGAACACCATTTTGCGCCTGTGTTCCCAAACTGGCAGTTATCTTAGTACATGACTAAGATGTAAGATCTGTTTTTCCATCAGTCAAGTCGTCGGTTGACGAAAGATTCCCTGAAGAATAGGTAGATAAATGACAACTACTTACCACAATAACATGTTTAGTTGTGTTAGTTATAGTACCTTTTATCCGCTCGTGTTAGGTCTTTTAATAGCCACTTCTTGGCTATATGATCTCCACCTACTCGTCAACATCTATCTCTTCAGTTCAGTCACAGTCATGTCTTCCTCCGTAGCCATAGGTCCCTTCTATTATGGATGAGATTCTCCAACGCTACCCTTCTAGTTTATTATTCCAGTCATTAACCAACGCTCTCCAACAGCGGTGCATATCATATACTGCTATCTGCCATGCAGCGCAGCAGTCGTAGCCAGGTCCCAGTGGCAAGAGGTGTTGTCAAGCCAAGGACGCCCTGGCTCAGGCCAGTGGCTTGGAGGTCAAAGCGTATACGACCTTATAATCTGCAGTGCAAGTGGCTCACTTAATTTCCAAGGTACAGAATTTATTCCTACACGGTGAGTCCACTTCTAAAACGAACTCACATTGATATCTTGCAAATCTTTCGTTATGCGTATCCCTACAAGGCTCCCATCTGAAAAGTGGACAGGCCTGAAACGGTATGTGTTGCAGGCTTTCTATTTTGTGGGGAAGCGTCACCTACTGCACGCCTGAAATAGCAGCTAAGCTTAAACCGGCAATCCTAAGCTCGGCTGTTGTGAGCAAGATAAGAGAATGGATCCTCGGGCTTGCCAAGATCTATCTCACAGAGACATTGATAGGGCTAAAGCCGAATCCAATAATTCCCGAGCTTGCCTTCTTCGTTGATAGCTCATATCTCAAATATTTAATATATGACATAATACTGACTATTGATGAGAGGAACTTGAACTTAACTACCCTATTGCATTAAATAAGCACCCATTATTAACCCCCCTCAGACAACCTTTTTTAGTATTTCCAGCATACAAACAATCCTCGAAATTAAGCTACCACTGCATCATGGCTGCTACCTACACCTTGTCTGCACATCTCGCGAAGGTTATCGCCGCATCATGGAGCGAAAACTGCTCGCAAATCAAGGCTCCGCCTCCAAACGCGGTTCCGTCGGTTAACTTGACGGCATTTCATCCTTTGACTTCACCAGATGGAAAACACAAAGTCAAAGACAGCCCGAATAAACAAGTGAAAACCGCCTAAGTACAGGTGGTGTTGGTTGAATACAAGGTCTTTCTCTCACGGACCAAGAAAAGTTGCCCATGGGGTATACTTTTCGCTTTTGTGATGGTTGATGAAAATGGAACGTACTGTAATTATAAAGAGTTTGAATTGCCAAGATAGTCAGCGTAATGCATTTACCTCTAATCTTGGTCCTGGCCTTGGATTTCTTCTCAGCTCTCTTTGGTTACTCCCATCTATGTTTTTGTTACACACAATCGACGATGATTGCTAAAGATTCCTGTCTACTATCTCGCCATTTTCTGATCTTGTGCTCGTCCATCAGATCATTCAAGTTCAGTCTCATTCGATTCCCAGCCTTCCTTGTCCTCTTTTTTCATTCTCACCATCGTTAAGTCCATCAGTAGCGCAATGGCAGACAAACCAGCTCCAAACCACAATGCTGACCGAAACCCCAGCGCTTCCCCAGCATGACTCTTCGCTATGTTTGTCTCAATCGTGCCGGCAAAACCAAGACCTAAGCTGTTGCCGTAGAGGTTGAGCGTCCCGATCAAGCTAGCAGCTGGCCCCTGCTCTTTCTTACCGACACTGCTGCTGGCAATAACTTGTGCAGCAACATATACAAAGTCAGGGCAGAAGCTACCGAATACAGTCGACGGGAAAACCTGTGCCCAGTAACTTTGTTGTTCTGGCATTGTAGCCAACAAAATAGTGGCTGTCAGCGAGGTGAGGCATCCGATGGCAAGGATCCATTGTGCCTCGAGCCGGGGAATTAGCCACGCGGCCAAAATGACGGCGCAGGATGCCCCTAGTCCATAAGGAATCCAGCCGACAGCGACGTTGAGGACGGACCATCCTCGTATCATCTGCTGCCATGCTACCATGTACCAAAGTGTGATACCAACGGCCATGTAAATAAACAAGACGACAACCGTGAGAGCCTTGAAGCTTTTGCCGCGAAAGATGGAAGGGGGCATGATGGGTTCATCAGCCCATTTACTCTCCCAAAAGAAGAAAATGACCATCAGCACAACTGAGGTGATCAGCATTGCAATAACATATGGAGTCTCCCATCCGTCTACTGGCGCTTGACTTTAAAGTTAGTTAGAAAAATTTCATGCTGTCTCGGGGGAAGAGAGGAGGGGGAAAGCGCACTTCCAGGACAAAGAGAATAATACAAGACCTCCCAAGCCGGTAATGATACCAATGCAATCAATCTTACCGCTTTTGTCAGCGGGCTGCTCGGGAGGTAGAACGAAGAATAGCCCAGAGAAACAAATAGCGCCAAGAGATGCCCTGGAATCCAGTTAGCCGAGTCCAAGATGCTAAAAATGTGCGTACAACATACACAGAGATAAAATGCCACTTCCATTCTGAATACTCGAGAAAGGCTCCAATCATCAGCGATCCGATGCCAGCTCCAACTGGAGGCGATGCCGCGAATATGGCCAGCGTGAAGTTGCGCACTTTGCCAGGAGGAACCATAATAGTAAGGGTAGCGACTGCATTAGGCATCAAGATACCGCCACCAACCCCAGTAAGAGCGCGGATTGCAATAAAGGAGTTATAAGTGTTACAAAATGCGTTGGCAATGGAGAAAGTGACAATGATAACGCCGCCAAGAAGAAGGAGCTTCTGATGACCATAAACAGCGCCGAGACGGCCGCTGATGAGGACGAAAGCGCTCTGTGTAAGGCTGGAACAAACGAGTCAGTCTCTTTATCGAGTAGATTCCGTAGCGAAGTATGATGGATCAACGTACGAGTATGCTGCAGCCATCCAGTTGGCCTGTCCCGGACCTACAGGCTTTCCCAGAATCTTGCTAAGCTCGTAACCGCCAGCTACGGTCGAGAACATGGAGATAAACTTGGGGTCACAATGTTAGCAATATTCCGCCACGAAATACGGGTATGGGCTATCTGGAAGGTCTTACTTGCGTCAAGTTACATATCAGAATCAGGAATGTGATCAAATATTGTTTGGTTTTGCTAGGCTTCATCGTCGATGCCACGCGTAAGAGCTCTGGTAATTGCTGAGAGTCCCCAACAGCTTCAATCTGGTTGATAACAGATGAGACGCCTGCGGGCTGATTCATTGATTTCATTGTGGCTAGGAATCGGTAGCAAGCAAACCCAGTCAAATTGTCGTTAATTAAGATCTTTGGATGTGGTTTAAAATCTACTTTTGCCCATCTCTCATGCTCCTAGAAGAGAACGCATATCGAAATCTGATTTAGTAGTTCTGTGGACCTATGCCCAAAAGGGCTTAATCACGCGAGCCTAAGTTTACCTGTTACGGAAGCGGGCGGATGCCCGATAAGCAGCGTACGTACATTTCTCTCCCCTCCTGATAAGCCTCTATCACTCATCAACTCTCCTTTGCATTGTGAAGAAAATCGTTGCAAATAGCCTCGGGATCATGGGCCAAAAACGGTCCAGAAGTGGTGTGTACCTTTCATCTGACCTTGTCAATCCTTTGGTTCTACTAACTAATATGCGCCCTTTCTTCTGCTAGGGTGTTGGACATGCCGCCGGCGTCACCAAAAATGTGACGAAACGAGGCCGGAGTGCTTAAACTGTCGTATACGAGGAGCTACTTGCGGTGGCTATGATATCCGTCTGGATGACTTTTCTATGCATCGCAATGGCCAGATGGTATCAAAGGTCATGAGAACTGGCCCTCGTCGGCAAAACAAAGCTGTTAAGCAGCAAGGACCACGCTCAGAGGTCGGCCGACATGAAAGCAAGAGGACAGCGGACTCCGATCCTGCCGCAATATCGGTTGATGGCAATTTGATCCCGTCTGGAGAATCTCAGCTCCATCTTGACGATAGTCCCGTGGGCATAACGGACTCGGCAATAATCTCTCAATTGACCATGAATCAAGATGTCATCACGCTCACAAACCAGGCGCCGTTTGTAATGCAGCATTCCACTACAAGCCCATCTCCAAGCTCTGTCGATCGGGACCTTAACGATTCTGTTTCACCAGGGTCGGCATCGGCTGCGACTAGTGAGATGAGCGATGATGCGGGAATATCACACCAGAATAACAAAAGCTCGGCGGCATGCAACACCGAGGTTTCGGATCTACAGAATCACCTCACTGTGTCTTTCGCCTCATCTAGTACAGAGACAGAAGCCACTGTGTTGCCTGCCCATTGTGGACCAGAAGATTTCTTCGTTGATGATGCCATATCAGAATCCTGGCTGCGTCTTCAGGACAGCAACGACGAGGAAACCTCAGAGATTAGAATCACTGTGGAATCGGAGACCGCAAGCCGTATCTTGTCCCGGATCAGCGGCACTCCGTCTGTGCCGTCTTCAATTCCCGACCCTTTCGACGACTATCTGTTCTGCCACTGTAATATCATCGTTCCATGCAGATTCTCGATAAACTCAGCTAACAGTTCGATGTCAGATATGCAGAATCTTTCTCTTTGCCTTTACCCCATGAGGCCAGATTGCAACCCGTACCGTGACGTCTACGGCGACCTTGCAGTGCGTTCCCACCCGTTACGAAACACAATACTATTTGCCTCGGCATCCCATCTAGTAAACTTGGGAAGATTGCCCAAATTCGCTCTTCAACCATACCGCAAGGCCATGAGAGTGGCGTTCCGAGAGGGTATAGCCATGGAGACCGACCTCGAAGGACTCGCCGCTACAGCTCTACTGTCGGTAGTATTTGATGTACGAGAGCAACACACAAAACCCTGGAATATATACTTGATGACTAATGGAAACAGGTTATTGATACTGGCTTGGACACTTGGAGTACGAGACTTCTTGGGTGCCGTCGTCTACTTAGAAACGCCATGGACAAATCGAATGGAACCAATGGACGGTTTCTGCAATGCATGATCGTTCAATACAATTGGGCTGCTACTATGAGCCGCACACTTCTTAGGGATGTTGTGTCTCAGGAGATACTTGACGAGATTGGAACCGTCATCCACGGTCAGTAAATTTCGCCGTCTTCACTTCAACATGTGTATCCCCCGCTGATAACACATCTCTTCAAAGTCCCTGGACCGGATGTGGAGGTTGAAAGCACGCAAGGGGCCAGAATACAGTCCCTCTGGTGGCATAATCTCCCTGATCATGCTATGCACCTCATGTTCCGTGAGGTGACGGATCTCGCTGCCCAAGTCCATCAGATGAAAGCATCCCACAATTCAGTGGACGACACTCTCAAACTTATGGCTCAAGCCGGCGAGCTCGTTCGGAGCCTGGAAAATTGGACCCCAGACGTGTCGATGGTGGATCAAGAGTACACAGATTCCGTCGAGCATTTTAACGCCATATGGCAGCTTGGATTACTTTGCTTCATCCACCACGAAATTTACACTCTCGATTCCATCGACCCTCGCATCCAGAAATATGTAGCCATGGCTATCGAACCTCTCCGGAAACTCTCATGGCTACAGGCCTGTCTTTTTCCTCTTTTCATGCTCGCGGTGCATGCTCAGACATCCGAATCTCGGTCGGCGATCGAAGATTCCCTCAGTATGATGCATACTTCGCTGGCTTTTCAGACTCCGCTTACTCTACTTCTGTCTCTTAAAAAGATTTGGAGCTACTCTGATACATACGGAGCTAGCGCCTCCAGATGGCGAGACTTAGTTAAAAACACGTCAGGGGAGTTTAATATTTTATTATAATTTTGCAAGCACAGTCTGGAGCGCATGTGGAATAAGTGCTGATTATTTCTTATCTTCTTTCGTGGATATCATTTTACTTAGTTATCTTTCCCTCTATCTGGCTTTGCTTTAATTGGGCTATTTTACACCTAAATTCAAAGAAATACCACAGATATTAAAATAGAAATGATATATTTAATGCTGAGTTACATCACCAGTACGAGCTAGTAATATGAATCTTGCAATTAATTTCATACTACTAAGATGCCACTGTGGTGACCATAGTTGTCGTCTTCTTCATCACTTTTCTCGTCATGCTTATCCCGAAACTGGCCACAACGCTTGGTTTAGGGCCTACCGATAACGCATAGCTGTATCCTTGGCTGATGGCCTTCGCATGAGGGATGGATTCTCGAGGTGGACGGAGTTGGGCTCGTTGTCTGGAGCGTGAAGCAGTGGCCGTAAGTGATGGACGGCGGAGACTATCGACAGGAATTGATAGTTTCTGGCACACTCAAACACAAACTCTAAAGATGGAGAGCTTTCAAAACTTTAAAAATCAAAAATACATGTATCGAGATACCAATAATAATTATAATACTAATCGAAAGCTCCCCTGCTTCATCTGAACTAAACTGCTAGCTGCTGCATATGCTGGGCTGAAAACAGCTGCTCCTTCGCCACGACCATCTCCGGATGAAGTGCCTCAGGAGTAATATAGAAGCCAAACCCAGCAGCATTCTGCCCATGCGCATAGTTGGCGGTGATGGGGCTTATATTCAGTAGACTTGTCGCCCATGCCTTGGTTTCGGGCTCCGCCTCTAGGACACTCATCGCCACCCCCATAGGGAACAGGTACAGGAACGAGGGTTCCTTGCTTCGGCAATGATGATGTGTTACCCATTCAAAAACTCGACAAATCTCCATGGCAGGATCTCGCACCGTGACAGCACCGCCGGGTCGTTGAAGCGGTTCAAACGATAAATAGTTAGTGGCTGGTTCATCGGGCATGGCAGCATCAGCACACGCTTCAATGCGCGCGCTTGCGCTGACTGGGTCAATCTTCCAGTAAAGCGCGATAAGCCACATCAGTGTAGCATTGTAGAGCATGAGCTCTGTCGCAAGTGCGAACTTGCCTAACCTCAGTCGCCCCGACTGCCTGGAAGTACCAATAGAACCAAGAGCTTCGGCTGCTCGGCCATTAAGTTGGGGTGTGTTGCTGGCGTCGGATTCAACATGGTTGCCAGAACGGGCTTGCCATTGCCATCGCCAGAGGTAGAGGGCAACAAGCTGCCTCTCAACTCTTTCCAACAACTCTGCTCTTGAGTTTGGCCCATCCTCATCCATCGACTGGGTTGCTTCGTGGTCCTGCAGAATCCCAGGCACAACCACCAAGATGTCCAAGAGCTGGCTTTGTGGCGTCTTGAATCCTTTGTTACGATCATATGGGACCATCCGCCAGCGCTCCTCTTCGAGAAAGAGACGCTGTTTGCCGTATAGACTTGCAACAAGCTGGAAGTCTAATTTAATATCATAATCTTGACTTGAGGAGCTTATTTGATCTTACCAAAGTCGCCCTTGTTGCCTCGAACGCATTGAGAAAAGGCTGCGCCTGAAAGGCCTCTGGCCCACAGAGGTGCAGCAGCCTCGCAAGCCCTCGGAGATGGAACACAGCACCAGTTTGGTCGGCGTAGGATGCCTGGGTAAAGTCAGCATCATGTAATCTTCAACCTCGGCTTCCGGTCCCCACAGCATGCATCAGCAGCACAAGAATGGGCACCAGCAAATGTTGCCCTCCTTGAACAGCGCCGCTTCCCAGTGCACCAGCCAATGTCTTCAAGCACTTTCCATACTGCACAACACCCTTGAATTCAATGTCTGGCTTATGGTTAGATCTCCCAAAGTTGGCCTCGGAAAGCGCCTTGGTGGCATCCAGGGAGAGACTTCCAAGCTTCCCAGCAGCCGCCTGGTCAAGCCACGGGGTTCCGTAGCTTCGCCAGACAAAGTTGGAGAACATGAAAGCGAAGCAAAAGTCTCCCTGGAACGCAATCAGGCTCATCTCAGGAGGCGGGGAGGCTACTCGGCTCATGGTTGAGGGCGTGGCTTTGTGGCCCGAGTGCGAGGCATTTTGTAGGGACACTTCGTCTCGAGGAAAGGGGGCTGTCGAAGTATGATGCCAAAGTCGCTCCCTGTTGAACCCCAAGCATTCAAAACCCCCTTTCGTGCAGCGAAGACAGACGGGTTTGGTTTCATCTAGGACCACCCAAGCAATCAGGATCGCCGATCGGGCGCGATTGAGCGTGATATGGAGTAAGGGAGCAGATCTTACCGCATTTTACTCGGCGCTTTCTGCAGGTATTGCAACCTTTGCTACGGCCTGGAACACCCACCATGCTAGCATCAATTGGAACTCGTCGCAGTTGTTGAGTTGGCCGGTACTAGAGAGTTCCTCGGCTGCTCGCGCAATGATTCCTTTTGAGGTGACAGCCACTTATATAACTTGGGCCATGCATTGGTAGGGCTTAGCGGCGGATAAGAGCTACGGTAGCGCCGGCATTAGTGCTGACTTAGCTGAAGCCTAGTGCTGACCAATCGTATTACCCGGTCATGGATGGTGGACTCTCGCAGCTCTGGGAGTGGAGAATGTCAATGGGCGCAGGGCTGGCGGAGTAAGATCCGATCCCGAGATGGACACTGTTGGCAAGAGTGGAGAGGAGGAAGCCATTTCTAGATACAATCGGCGAGATTCAGGCATGGCTAGGTTTATAGAGCTTCAAAGGCTTCATTGTCACCGTGGTTGCGATGGTCTACGATTGGGCATTTCATGTATAAAAGGGTAGGGTCTGGTGCATCCAGGCATCTTATTCCCACCATCAACCACCGACAATATTCAGCCCTCAAACTTCTTTGACAATCCACTACTTCAATATTCAATATGCATTCCTCTCTCATGTTTCTCGCATCGTTCATGATGCATGGCCTTGCTGTCGGCAAATTCATTTCCCCCGGCACCGCGCAGCTCACCCAACCCTACTACCCACCAAATGCCGACTGCTGGGAGTACAAAGTTCCCGTCACCATCACCTCTGAGAACATGGTCTTTGACTTTCCGGACTGGGAAGACGACTATGCTCTCCAAGACTTCCTAACGGCTGCAACGACTCGAGACAGTGCTAGATACCCGAGCCCCATTGTCGGCACCAAGAATGAGACTGCAACTTACGCCTTGGCCGCATCCTTCTGCACGCCAAAGTATTCGGGCAAAAAGACTATAATTCTTGCGACTCACGGCATCGGGCAGGCTCGGACTCACTGGAACGCTGCCCACCAGCCAGACGAGTACAACTTCGTCCAGCATGCTATCAGCAAAGGGTACTCGGTCTGGTTCTATGACCGTCTCGGCACCGGCGAGTCTGAAAAGTGGGTAACATATTTTCCACGCACAGGCTAGTAGCTGACCTCACCATGCAGAGTCTCTGGATTCACAAACCAGCTTCGCAAGCAAAAGGCCATCCTCGTTCAGCTCGCTAAGATCGTCAAGTCCGGCCAATACACAGGTACCTTTGGAAAGCCTGACAAGCTCGCCGTAATGGGCTTTTCCTTTGGATCGTTTATCACACACTTTGCCGTAGCCGAGAACCCAACCATTGCAGATGCCGCCATCTTGACGGCCATCAACTACAACACGACGGGACTGAACGCCAAAGGCTTGATTCGCTCTTTCGTACCCCGAGTGGCATCCCTACAAAACCCCCGCCGTTTCGGACTACTGAACTCTGGATATTTAACCTGGGTTGATGCCATTGCGCAGGTCAACACGCAAGTATTGTCCACTATTCAAAAGTACGCCGCTGCTAACCGCAACCATCTATAGCTACTTCAAGTACCCGTACTATGATCTTCCGACAGCATCCTACTGTGAGGAATACAAGCAGGCATTTGCCATCGGAGAGTTTCTGACTATTGCTGATGGCGACTTTGACGCCAGTGGTTTCACCGGAGCTGCTCTCGTAGGCGCCCTGTTTCTTGACACAAGACCCTGAAGCTAACAGGATACAGGCCATCACTGGAGAGACGGACTACATCATCTGCGATGGGGAGTGTCGAGGCATCTTTGAGGAGCCGGCACGAACCATCTGGAAGAATGCCAAATTTGAGCCCTACTTGCACCCACACGCGAGCCATAATTTCAATTTTCACCACAATGCTACCGGCGCCTATGGGGTTATCACCGGTTTCCTGGAATCAAACGGTCTTTAAGCAGGGGGTGTACCTAGACGGTGGGATCCGTATGAGATGGACGACGATGGCGGGAGCACATGGTACTTTCAATTCTTCTTTTATCACGTAGTTTATTTGAGGGGGTGTTTTTCTTATGAAAAATGAAAATGAAGAAAAAAATGGAAGTTGGTTGTTTCTTGGATGACTCTAATCGCAATTCTCATTGCTTATTAGTAGCCCCGATAATTCGATTAGAATAGATAGCCTCTATAAAGAGATTAGGAAAACCAAGATTCCGGCGTGCAATACCCCAGAAATAAACACAACTTTACTAGACTACTTCTGCGTGTCACTCGTTCTCGTGAAAGAAAAGAAATCCGGCGGACTGAGACCTTGAATAGTAGTGCCCCCCTGCGGCTGACTATCCGTCTCCTGACGAGAATCTGCTGACTTGCTACCGGGTGGTTGGCTCTAAAACGAAACATAGGTTAGGAAAGGAAGTAAAAACGAGGGAAGCTAGGTTAGAGGGGACTAACCGAATCATGGCTCCGCGCATAGCTATCATTCTGCTTGTTGCGCCCTTCAGAGGGAACTGTCGATCCGGTGGGGGTGCCTGTACTGGATGAGAACTAATAGCTGTTGCCCAGTGAAACCGTATCAGGACGTACGTGATGAATCCATATCACAATCTTTGAATATCCTCTCTCGAAGAGGAGCGAAAACTTTGAGTCGTTCAGGAAGCGAGATATCGCCGTGAAGACGGACTAAATAGTTGATATTTCAATTGCATTCTAGTCTTTGCTTCACCATGAATATATAAAAGAAATTCTAACATGAATAGATGACTCTGATGGGCCTCTAGGTTTGCGTCCTACTGAATCTCAGTACCCAATGTCTATCGTATGCGAGCTGCCGCGGCAAACATTAAGTCAAGTCCTGCCTCATGCCGCGCCTACGATGACCAAAAGCGACGGGGGACTACCCGGGGAATAGCATAAAAACCCAAACCCCAATTTCTAACCCAGTTCAAGAAGGTAACTACGAGCAGGGGAGATAAGCTTGAACTCCAAATATGAGATTCTGTGATATGAGAGGTGGACAGGTCTGGCAGACTGCAGCCAATACACCTCTGACGCACCGCCTCTGGACACAATGGCGGCCACGAATTCACGTCCAAGGCAGAATCCCTCGAGATTCATTGGTTTCGCCATGCCTGAGTTTGTGATGCCTTCTGACCTAGGGGTTAGAGGCTGAACACGTCAATGCAGCTCCCAATGTGGAATCAACTTGCTGACCTGGTTGATGGCATCTCGAATAGTCTGCTATTCCTCATTGGGAAAGACATTGCGAGCTGTCTCGGCGTGGCTGTGATGGCAGCTCCACCATGGTTGCACCCCTGTCTGCGACCTGCGAGTTGACGAGGGATATGATTGGCCCTTGTTCAGACGGCTTTGTTTCCGCCGGATCTGCATCTTCAAGCAATTTCAGATGCGTCTTCCGTGAGATTGAGCTGGATCAAGGATTTACTCTTTAACCAGCGAATTGTGACTTCATAATGCCTGTCATTGACCACCAATATCCGCCTGAGATAGGGCTGAGATATCACAGCCCAGTTCCGACCCTGGCATTTCCAGTCAGCATTTCCAAGCCATCCCAGAGTACAGAGGTGTGTAAACATGGCGAGTCTGGTAGGGCGGCCCAAGGCGTCTGGTAATACCGATATGTAAAGTCATCCCGTTCTATATAAACTTGTCTCTGTCTCGCAGGTTCCATCTCCACCCTGTCCAGTCTTCCTACACACTTACACCATACACAACCAATTCCCCTTCAACTCTACCTCTTATCCCCTTCTCCACCAATCACCTCACAATATGGCTGCCATCCTTCGCAAGCTCTTCCGCCGCAAGAAGCAGCCCCCTCTGGTCTGCTCCATTTCCCTTGATGACCAGGGCCATCCCATGGGTGAAGACCCAAATCACAAGCACACAACCGCCTGTTTCATCGACTTTGAGCCCCTCGCCGTGGTCGAGCTCTTCCAGTCCCAAGGCTGCCAGGCCTGTCCTCCCGTCGTTCCTGGCATTCTCCAGGGCGCAAACCACCCAAACCTCCTTCTTCTGACCTACAACGTAACGCTCTTTGACCATATGGGCTGGAAGGATACCTTTGCCAAGTCTGCCTGGGACCAGCGCCAGCGGGCTTATGCCATGAAGCAGCAGCGCAAGACCATTTTCACTCCGCAGGTCATCGTCAACGGTGTAGCTGATGGCTCCGGTGCCGGCATCAAGGAGGGTGTCCAGGAGATTGTGCAGCGAGCCAGGGCCGCCCAGATGGACAGACCTTGGCACATTTACCTTGATGTCAATGACACGGACGTCAGGATCGATTCTGACGCTGAAATGGCGGAGGAACATGACATTATCCTCGTCCTCTACAGAAGTGGTGACGAGAAAGTCAAGATCGGCAAGGGGCCCAACAAGGGCGTAAAGCTTGATCATCGCAATGTAGTCACGGATGTGTTCAAGATTGGGAAGTGGACCGGTGGTGATAGTACACTGCCCCTTCCAGCCTCCAAGGATTCAATGAAACCAGGGGAGAATGCCGTTGTTCTGGTTCAAGAGGGCGCTGGTGGCCCTATTGTTGCCGTTGCTAAGGTTTAGAGACTGGCGGAGGTCCTGTGTAGGGCACTACCTGCTTCCGCATGTCAAAATATAGCCTCCCAAGACCTTTTAACCGTATTAGCTCATATCCTTAATGAGAAGTGTTTTACCCTTTTTAATCCTTCCGCTGAAAAATTTGTAGTTCACATGCTATGAGGAGAGGCTCAGGATGCCTGCTCGACTCCGAGTCCCACCCATAATCCATCACCAGCCTGCGTCGCGGTTGGTGCTATGCAGAATCCTGCCCTGAGCGCACTTGTTATCTCACCAATCTTCCTGTTGAGGTGGAACTCTGGGGAAAGCCCCAAGACGTGCTCAAATGCCACCGAGGACAGCCTCCGGAAGAGTGACTGAGAGACAGGGATCCAGAGGACACCTATAGTTAATAGCACTTAGCTTAGGAAGCTTAGCTATATTATAAACTCGCTAAATATATCTATGCCTATCTTCTTAAATCTTCATAGATGAAAAACTACAACCTGCATAATAAACAAACAACGCACTTCCCAATTAGGTAGGAGTTATACTTAAATCTAACATCTCAAAGAATTCTATAAAATTAATATTAAGCCTAAATAGCTAAAAACCTTGATATAAATAATTAACTTTATATATTAAAATATGAAAATTTCCTTAGAATTTTATTTATTCTATCTTATTTAGTTTTACAAGGAAATCTATTTATATTATAATTTATATTCTATTTTAATATTTCCTATAAAAAGTAAAATAGCTATAAATCAGGAAAATCTACATTATTATTATAAATCCTATTACTAAAAGTGATTTTTATAGATTTCTAATTCTTTTATTTAGAGTTTTGAGTTATTATAAGGTAGGTCTTTTTCAGTGCACAGTATAGTGCATCGCTCGCTTATCTGCGTCGCTCGCTTATCCCGCACGCTATACTATAAATCATGTATTATAAGATCTATGTCTAAGATATACAATATCCCTACCTACCATTCTCACACCAGCTGCTATTCCAAGCGTCCGGATCTGCTACTTGACCATTGATTAGACTATTGAAGAAAGCAGCATCAACTCCCTGGAATGCCCAATAAGCTGCGTCTGCCATGAAATCAGGCATGGGTAGATCAAAGGTTTCCAGCTCTTGATTCTGATGGGCCGTTGTAAGGGTACAGATTGGCGATATATGTTCCTCGTCGCTGATGAGTAGACGCTGTAGCTGCTGCTGCGTTGGCTGAAGCACTATATCACTTGATTGTGATGAGGCGATGTGCGATGACATTGAGGTTTGCTCGAAGGACGCAGAAGACGCAAGCCTGGTAGTTATAGCTGATGGCAAACTCGTGTATGAGCAATCTGTTTGAGCTGTGCTCGGAGACGGATCGGGCCATCGTGTAGGAGAGACATCAGGCGCCAACCTGACGTTTCCAAAATATGGAATCGCAAGGTAAAAAGTACGCTTCCCTTGCCCTACATCATTGCCGTCTTGGGTTTCTTTCACAATGCCGCAGCTGTAAGTATCACCGCTCTCGGCAGAATCCGCTTCGAGGGCGAGTAATTTCCTTGCCAGCTTGGCAGTCTCCCTTGTCAACTCATCGTTGTTCAACCGATTAAGCTCATCCAAGGTATCTATCGTCTTATCTATCAGCGCCCGGTCTTCTAGGCGTTGATGCGCAAGCAGCCATGTGGAATCCTGGCTCTGGCCACTGAGATGGGCGAGTAAAAGGGTCAGAGAGGCCGTCAAGGCACAAAAGTCGACGATACGACAACAGAAGACGATCCTAACAATGGCCCGGAAAGGGATATACCTGCTCAGAACCTGGCGGCTCGCATATGTGCAAACTGTTTTGTTGTAGTCGTACCGATGATCGGGGTCCTTTTTACGAAGAAGGTACGGCAAGTGCAAAACCGTGAGCAGATTGTAGTGAACGATTTGCATCTGCGCGTTTACAACTAGCGACATTACGTCGTCACTGCTCATATCTGGGCGGATATTCATTGGAGCCCACCAGTTGCTTGGTATGCTGTTCGCAATCTTGTTCATTAGGTTGTCGATCCTCTGGGTGTCTGCGAGATTATAGTCACCACGCTGGTTTCTGTTGATGATTTGTTCACATATATCAATCTGCACATTTTCCAGCCATTCTGCATCGGTTTGGCCGGCCGTCTTCTCCTCGGATGAGAATTTAGCATTTGTGATGGAAGTCGACATGTCGAGAAGAAGAGATAAGTAGCGCTCCAGGTACGCGATATGTGCCCAGGCCACGTCGCCTGAGACACGAGTCGTTGGATCATGTTGCTTCAGTGCGCTATGGCGGGCTTTGCGATGCAGTCCCATGAACTGAGCCAGAGTTGAGGCACGTCGGAGGGATATTAGCGCCCGACGGAGGTTCCCGCAGTTGATGAGATAGGCCCCTTCAAATATGAGACACTCGAGCCCTTCGAGAGAATCCAGAAGCTGGTCATGGCAAGTCACCATGCTCGACGCCAAATAGTAATACCTCCGCATGGCTTCGTTAGCACCAACTCCCAGGTGAAGAGAACCTTGGTTGAACGAAGGATCCAGTTGCTGTATGCAAAGACAGAGTTGCAAGAATTTTCGTGCAAGAAGTACCGGGTGGGCGGTGTTTGGAGGGAGGATAGATAGGATGCTAGGTGGTAGCCAATCCCCTTGATCAAACAACTGGCTGTAAGGATTACAGAGTAATTGCAGATAGATGGCGGCTCTGCCAGCCCCAAAGAGGACATTGGCATCTTGTTGAGATGGCAAAGCAGCGTGGAGAGTTCGACACGTATCCGCAAAATCGGGCAGGATAAAATCACTTGATTTAGTTGCGTCTTCTACAGGGCTGCCCGAGCCTGTTTGAATTGGGACAACTGGTGCCGCGATAGTGTTGTCCGATGTTACCTGGGACTCACATCAGACTATTGGGGAGGTGATTGCGTTTGCAGCAGATGGCCACTCACCAGTGCGGTGTCAGTGACTACCCCAGGGACAGGGACACGGCGCACATTGATACGAGCGTCCTGCCAGTCATCTCTCGCAATCGGGCATTCCGCCAATGGCTGGGGAACAAAGAACTGGTTCTGCGACGCATCATGCTGTGTCCCAGGACTATCCGTGAAAACCTTGACAGTGAGCCTCTCAAGCATCTGCTCTATCCTCTTTAGACTCTCCAAGGTTCTCGGATCTTCCTCAGGTTTAGGCACAGCAATGTCAACGAACTCCTGGCCAACGCAATGAGAGCCTCGACGTTGACATCCTACGCAGGTGGTAGCGGAGGGATGGTCGAAGAAGCATCGTGCTTTTCTTCTCTTGCCTGCAAAGAATGATTAATGCCATACAAAGAAAAAGGCGGGATAACCGAATTCTCGGTTGTCAGGCTCGCACATTCTACGCAGCTATGAGTGCCCTTGCGCAAAAGTCGCCGAGGGGTAACTAACCCAACCGGCTCGATAGCACGTACGCCTCCTTGATCCATTGAATTGAGGCGACAAGGAACAAACCTCAGGGACGAGCAGAAGATCTCCGTGTGTGGTGTAGTCTGTGTAAAGGTGTGAAGGAGTCAACGTCGTCCTTCCGCCGCGTTCCGCCGCGATGGGTGAATCAACAGTCATCGTCTGACTCAGATTTTAGTTAACAGGGCTTACACTTTTGTAGAGGTTTATACTTTTGTAGACCGGACAGATATTCTTCCGGACGCACCCCTGCTTGGGAGGAGCAAGGATCCGCTCCTTTCGGACTCGCGCCGGAGTCTCATCCGCCGGCTCAAGTACATATATATGTATGTATGTTTATACGAATATGTCTCTCTCATCGTCAGTATTGGTGAACTTTCATCGCCTCTTTGCAGGAAAAGCTCCAACGTCATCCGCAAGTCTTCCATCAATTTCATAATGTCTTCTCCTGCCAGTCTACCAATCGAGCTCCGTATTCATCCAACAGGATGGAAATCGGGCCCGGAGTCTGAGCGGTATCCTCTTTCTCTCATGGGCCATATCATGCCCAAGGTCTACGTACTGGTCGCCGAAGTGTTTGCCCTACCGGACCTTACAGACGATGATGTAACTGTTCAAAACATGACCGCCGGCTTAGAGTTTGCTATTTCACAGTTCCCCATCCTTGCTGGTGTCTTAGAAATGGACACTGCTACTGGGCGGATGTGGGTGGCTAGGCAACGGGATTCGACGGTCAGCCTACACGTCAAGTACATGCTGCGTGAAGGCGAGTTTCCGAGCTATAAAGAGCTGGCAGAAAAAGAGGTACGACACTACTGTGTTGACCAGCCCTACCACAATGGACTATGGTACTAAATGTAAAACAGTTTCCTGCGAGCTCTCTAACAGGTAGTCAACTTCTTCCGGATTTTGTCACAGCAAAACAGCTTCACTCTCCTCTTGGCGACAACAATGAAGAAGGAATCGCTGTTGCAGCCTTCCAACTTAACTTCATTCGAGGTGGCCTTATTATTGGCTTGGCAATCCATCACTCCGTATCCGACGGTCCAGGATGTGATGGGTTCCTAACCACCTGGGCAGAGAACAGTTCTGCTGCAGCAAAGGCAGCCCCATTCATCCCTGCAAAGCAGCATTTCAGCGTACACGGAACTCCATTGGATGTCGAAAGCCCAACACGTGTTCGGATGGAGGAACTCGAAAGAACTCTTGCTGTAGTACGGGATGCGGGTGGCCCAATGGCACCACCACCAGCCGGCTTCAAAATGCCATCCTTGATGGCACAGATGTGGCACTTTCCTAAAAGCAAGATTGATTTGCTCAAGACCAAAGCATCTAGCGAAGGTGTTAACAACTGGATCTCCACCTATGATGCGATTATTGCTGTACTCTGGAGTAGTGTGACGCGCTCGAAGCTGGAGATGCTCAAACCTGACATGGAGTCCAAGGCCACTCTGGTCCACGCCGTCGACACGAGAAAAGTATGGAACCCGCCCCTGCCTAAGCGTTTCTTGGGGGTCGGCGCTGCTGCGGCACGCTGCGAGCCGTTGACTGTCAACGACATCATCACAGGGAATCTGTCCAAGCTCGCGACCGAGGTGCGAGCATCAATTAAAGCCATGACTCCAGAGTACCTCACGAGCCTCCTTGAGTGGGTTGCCGGACACGAGGACAAGCGGTGGCTTGAGATCAGCATTAACTCGTTTCTGGGTATGGATTTCGGTGCGTCCAGCTGGCAAGGCATGACAGCGTATGAGACGCATGATTTCGGCTTTGGACTGCCCAAAGCGCTCAGGTGGCCGAGCCCAGCTTTTGAAGGTTTTGTTTTACTGTATCCCAGCCGAGCGGAGGCGAATGATGCGACAGGCGACGAAGGCGTCGAAGTGTGTGTTTGCTTGGAGGAGAGTTGTCAGAGGAGGTTGATGAACGATCAAGTACTCTTGGAATACGCCCAGCCGAGGGGGTTGTAGAGCTTCAATGCAAGCTGTAACCGCATAGTTTTCTCTTTTCTTTTGGTCTAACTTTTATTAATAAGTGATTGCATTGATCGACCTTGTGCTCGTGTCCTAGAGAAGACCAAGGCCTACGTCCGTCGAGGAGTGATTGAAATACCAGATTAACATTTCTGCCCTGATTCTGAAAGGCCTTCCGTATTCGTCCTTGAGAAACTAATATAAATAAAAAATTTCTGCTCTACTCTGATGAATATAGTACTACAGTTGATAGTATTATTTTAATACAAGGCATTATACTCCTTCATCTAGCCCCTATGTTAGATGTCGAAGTCGACGCAGGAACGACTGTGGATCGTGGGGTGTTTCATGGTGATGGTAGTTCCAGCTTTAAAGCTACCCCATCATGATTCTTTCCGATTCTTCATCCTCAAGCAACTTCGTTCATTCTTTCTCTTTATTAGCACGGCCCACTTCTAACACAAGAACTCTTTTATTGCGGGATCATCCGCCGCGAGGCCAACCACGGTAGCACGAGCATCGCCAATTACAGGGCCGTTGCCGATTGCTTCTGCTCCGGGCAAACTCCATCACGAGAAGCCTCTTCGACATAGCAGGCTCCCACCTGGTCCTTGTGGAGGGTCAGGCCTATCGAAAAGGGTCCGTTGCGAAGCATCGACCTCCTTTATAAGGACGGTGGCATGTACGTGCCAAGACATGCTTTTCCGCACGTTATGACAAGGGTCAATTGGCAGCCAAATGCGAGTGCCTAAGCCAAGAACCTTTAGTTGACTGCCAATAAGTTACTTAATTTCGATTCTTAGGGAAATTACTACAACCTGATCATGTCGCGGCATGTGTCCTTTTTCGCAGACTCGGGCGAGAGGGAAGAATTGTTCAGAGGTTAGAAGCACTTGATATAAGGCCCCATGACCATATACCTGTTGGACCTTTCGCCCAAACCACCAATTACGTCTCCATTTCTGCTGGTAGCAGGACCCTCCAGCGGACCTCCAGACGCATGAGCGTCACCGACAACTTCAGGATTTTAACCCAAATCAGGCGACCATCTATGCTCATTTCGAGTTAACAATCAGGTAGGGAGACGCTATGTGGTACCAATACATGAAAGCAATGTTGATTCCTGATTTAAAGGTCGGGTTTAATAATTAATTCTAAATAGTCGCTAGCAACTTGAGGATATTTCTCATCATGATATGCCACCTCAGGACAACAACCGGATTGTATCGATGTCTGGCCCACAACGCGTAACTGCCCATCGTAACGCTCAATTTCGCCGTGGCAAGGCAGACTTAAAGCTATAATTCGACTTTCATCTTTCAGTTATTGAATTTGAAGAACCATCTGTTCAAGTACCAGGATGGAGAGATGGTACCGGCTGCTCTGCCCTGATATCGAGTTTATATCCGGCAGCCCAGTCTTCCCAGAGAGCTACGAACGGCTCACGAGGTATAACTCTAATTGGGAGTGGCAAATAAAGGTCTATATTATTCCTTATAGTTATCAAAAGAAGCACGTGAGCTTATAAAATGAAGGGTAGAGTGATGTTGTACGACGATGTGATAGTGGTGGAATCGACGGGCCAGAGACGTAGGCGGTTAAGTTGCGCAAGGAAAGCAGACAGATCCAGTTACACCCCGTTCCTCCCCCAATAAGACAGCAACTGTTGTTTGAACACGGGACATTCGTGCACGATAGGCCTCCGGGGATGGGAGGCTTTTAGCAAGCGCCAGCATTGGGGTTCGCGCTAGTAGCTGGTTAGACATCGCAATAACATTTAATAAGCTGGCAACATACCTGAACTCCTAGTTGTCGTAAGCGCGTCGGCCACCCTTATCGCAGCCAGTGATCTCAAGTTTCAGGTAGTAGTAGCAATCATACTCGGACAGGGTCGTGGAGCCGCCTGTAAGACGCTTGACCTCAAGGTCGGCGTGCTTGCCGGGGCCAGGGACGAAGATGCAGTGCGTCTTTTTCTAGCCTTGACCATAGCTGCCACTCAATACGCTCGCCCTGCACCCGTCCCGCAGTTATTACAGCACAGAGTCTTTCATGGAACCCCAAGACTCGCCGCTCTGGTGGCAAGCAGCCTCAGAGACAGCAACGAGGGGCACGAGGGCGAGGACGATGTTCAAGAGCTGCATTTTGGCGGTTGTGGGTGTGGATGGAGATCCAGAAGGCGAGTGCTTGAATATGTGTTGTCTGCGACTTCTTTCTACCTCGACATTTCGGCTTCGCGAGCCTACGACATTTCGGGCTCTGCGCTCTCGATTTTGCGCCGTACAACTGACCTCGGCAGCCTCGGCTGCCCGAACAACACCAGCAGCCCTCAGCTGCTCGACTTTCTAGGCCCTCTGTTGCCCCCGACCTCGAATGCATGAGCCCTACATGGCTTGCTGCCCTTTTTGCAGCTCGGAAGCTGTATGACTGATCTCTGCAGTTTCATATGCCTAGAGACCCTCTTCCTCTTTGTAGCCCCGGCTGCTGCCCAGAATATAACCGGGCTTTGATAATTTGTCTTACGGGCTGAGACCATTTGATAAAACCGCTGGGTCGAAATGGTATAGAGCTTGCCTAGAAACTATGAAAGGAGGCGACTACCTCGTCTACAGAGCAGCGTTCTGGCCACCTTGGGTTTTTCTCCTGCGAGGGTTTTTCCTAATAATGCATGGTTCTAGGTTGCAGCTATTGGTAATCTTAGAGGTTATAGATTTCTTGCCTTAGGGTGTGGAAAGCTACTTGATTTATCTATGTAAGAGAATTCTAGGCTGGAGAGGGATAAGTTCCTGCTGACAGGATGCCCTCTTAAAAGTAAGGCGCCTTTGTGCCAATGATATGCTGGATGAACTAGATGGAATAGCAGCTACATAGGAACTCTTCCTGAAGTACCCTGTAATAACGTCTAAGACGATATGCTTGAAACGACTGTAGGGCTGGCTACGAGTGGGAAACTGCCACTTGGGGTTTGAGCAACTTAGCTCTCCGTTGATGCGAGGAAACATTGCTGGTATTCTGAGTGAGATGGGATGTGACAGCAATTGTAGATAGTTTAGCTTAGCACGTCCTGTGCTCCCTTAGGCGACTTCTGGGGCCTCACGGCCCCCCCGACGAAAAATACATACAGACACTTTGCCCCTCTAAGGGGATTGTGTGGCGTATAGCCTCAGGACGAAAACTAATCAAATCAAATCAAATACCACAAAACCCCAGGACGCCGAAGGATGAAGTGGGTAATGTGGGTACTCGGCCCGGGTGCCCATGTTTCAGTCGCCCTTCCTTGTGAAGTGGAGCCTGCATTAAACTTCAACCCACGAACTCGGAACAACGCAAAGCTTCAAGAGACGTGATGATTACCTTTCGATTGTGCCATTTTGAGGATTTCTGAATAGACATACTATAAGCCATTTGAAGAGCCTAACCCGCTGTCGTTAAGATGTACGAAGTAATCGCCGTTCAAAGACACTCTTTGGCAGATCGAATACTCAGGCTGCATGCAACAACCGTTCTAGCCAATTCAGCCGTCGGCCATCAACTATTGTATGTTGGTTATAAGTGTAGATACAAATAACCACCAGCGCACCCAGTCGCCTGGCTACGGGTGTGAATTTTAAGCCGTGTTAGGCATCATTTCTCCAATTGCGACAAGCGGGGAGAGACCTCGATGGACGAGGCCGTACATACCAACATTCTCGGCCTCCGGGTTCTTGCTGCTTGCTTACCACGAGACAGCAGGGTTTTCCCGCACGGAGTCGAATTGAGAGCTCTCGACTTTTGCTTTATATAAAGGAGCTACCTCGCCGCAGCTTCGAGGAAGAGAGTGTTCCAGCAGACACCGCGCTGTCAAGATCAACTTTGGCCTGAAGGTCTCTCCCCTTTTTCAAGCTTGTCCCATAGTATTCTCGCCTCAGCATCATGAGAGCCTCTTTTCTCACCGTTATTCTCTTCGCAGCCTTCGCTGTCGGGCTCCCTTCTCAGCCCATCGAGCAGCGAGGCGAATCCGCCACCCTCGACGAGGTAACCGCGGCGGACGCTCCCGCTGGGTTGACCATCACCCCTCGCTCCCTGGCCAGCGACGCTGGCGATTCTTCCGATGCTTCGACGGTCGCAGTCGTTCTTAGAGAGGCTGAACCTGCCGACAATAATTACCCGGCCGTCTCCGTCGACGAACGTGACATCGAAGCGCGCCAATATGCGATTTGACCTAGACCCAAGATCCATGGAAGTTCAAAGTCAAAGCCAGAGGCCGCCACCTCATCAACATGTGGTCAAGCGGGTCAGTCCAATTCCAGACCTGCTTCAAGGCCACGGGATTCTGGTCCTACGATTACGCCATCGCTTGTGCTTTGCGAGATACCGGCGGCCGCGTCTACACACTATCGCGCAAGGGCTGCATCGAGGGCACCTGGGAACCGAGCAGCCTGACTCACTCTAAGGATGAGACTAGGTACAACGCCGATGTCCAGACACACTGGAACGACATTGTTAATGGCGATATGAATATGCACTGCCGAGTCACCATGTCCAACTCGATCAGTTGGAACAGGCTCAAGCAGCTGGTTCAGGATGTTATTGACATTATTAAGACGGTTGGAGGTATTTTCGCAGCTGTGATTGTTATCTTTTGAAGCCTTCCACAGGCTGGCTGGTCTTCAGCGACGGCCAAGACGGAGGGAAGGGAAGATATCGTAGTCGTGTTAGTAAATACTGGCTATGAGATGAGTAATCCTTTTGCTTTCTTCTTGTGTTTATTGGTTATATTTCATATTTAGGCATGTATTTCATGCTTGTCTTTGCCATTTATTTAGCAACTTGCCGTTCTTTAATATTTCAGCACCCTCACAGCATTAAACATGCCTCTTTCGCGACCACCGATTCGAGTATCATATTTTCAAGATTGTGACAGCTGTAGAGACTATACCTGCGGCCAATACAAACGGCATAACATCCGGCGGGAGCCATCGTTTCACGAAATGGCTTGCGGTGCTTGAGATAATAAACGCTGAATGGAATTTTCTGTCAGTACGCATGACACGACCAAGATTAGGAATGATAGAAACCTTAGCGAGTGTGATAATTTCTGGGTTGTAATCCGATTGCGCCCAGGATCCTATCGTAACTGCAGCCATCAGAAGAAAACGAAATATCGCAAGAATGGCACAGGACCAAGAAATCGATTCTCCAAACGGAGTGTAGACTGCAAAGGTGCAAACAGCAACATACATAATGAACATTACGCTTAGTGTGCCTAAATCATTTGCATCCTAGGGCTCGTCTCTCTCAGCTTAATTAACTATAATCTTCCTGGGGTGTGAGGAGGGTTGTAAGGATAGTGACGCGGCAGCAGCAGAGTGCGATGCATTCGATAGCTGCCCTACTTCCATTCACGCCTCTCCAGAAGGCTTCAAGTAAATTGAAGGAGTTCAAGGCGGCGCTAACTTTCCACAGCGTTCGTCCGAATTCAAGAACATCTTTCGTTATGAAGGCGGATCTCATAGTTACTCCATTCCTCTGAGCGATCCTGTAATAAAAGCAGCTTCATTATAGAAATTTGGCAAAGATCAGCGGCGATTATGGGGTGTGACTAAGACCATGTATTTTCCAGAAAATCTATCTAATGCATATAAATCCATCTGACCTTACACCCAAAAGGCAGGTATCTAATAACCATTTACGCCACAATATTTATACTTTAGTTTGCCTTTTCCAAAATGGCAGTTCGTACTTGTATAGATATAGACCAATGTGGTTGGCTTAAGCTTCTTTACCCCGCAACCTTACGGTAGCATTTGAGAGTGGGTCAGGGTATCGTGGCACCAATAAATCACGAGCTCAAGATGCCAGATCATCCAAGATACAATTTGTAGTTCCAGACGTGCCAATGTTATATTTGCAATAATAAAAATTACTTTAAGTTTGCTTCGTTCTAACACAAGATATGCATGAACCACTACGCAACTTCTGCGATCTCCTTGCCACAAGCTCTGCCAAGAAAAAGATTTGAAGATGGCAAAATTGCAGATGTAACTGCGGAGACGTCCTTGGACGATGAGATCGTCAGGATGGAAGAACGGTTCTCGCAGTTGCTGCTCGCCCACCATGGTCCGGGTGCTGGGGTGCCGCCGAGCAACCGGCGGCACAGCTTCAGCATCCACGGCGCACAGTCGGGCACACCGCTGCGCTTCAGCGCGGCGATGAAATCCTGCTAGCTGTTGTAAATGCGTTCCAGGAACTTCTGCAAGACAGGATTTGGTTCGAGGAACTTCTGCAAGGCGGGGTTTTGTTCCAGTAACTTCTGCATGGTAGGGCTGGAGTCGTCGTTTATAACAGGTCCTGCGACTGCTACCAGCTCCACTTTGGGAGCTGCCTCTTCTCGTTGGTAGCGCATGTGCATCAGCTAGCCCCGGCGTAGGCGCTCGAATGCCCATCGGAGCCAGGACAACCTGACGGAGTGGGGCTTGCACGATCTGCCTCCAACACTGAGATCATCCTCACCCTTCACCATCAATCAATGCGGAACGCATCGCTGAGGGCGGAATGCGATAGTTATATCAGTTCTGGAACGTCTACGTTAGGCGCAGTGCTTTATAGCCTATGCGTGGCCTGTCAGCAGTTCGCGTATTGGCTGTGTGCTTTCAGACACGGTGTGCATTTGCCATCATTTACAACTGGTGCGCTGGGCTCTATTTAAGCCTTTAAGCTAGAGAATTTATGGCCGATCACTGGCTGGGATCCATTTAGCCTGGAAGAAGGAAGGCGTAGAGCCAGAAAGCTATTTGGGCTAGTTCGTCGGGGCAATATCTCTTAAGGGAGGTCATTGAGGGGCTAGACAACCTCCGAAGCCAAGGATAGGAGCGACAATCTTCGGTAGATCCGAGCACATATCAACGTTCCTAGCCATAAGGCCGCAGACTAAGGAGCAAAGAAAGCCGCCAGATACGACCCTATTACCGTAAGACCAAGGGTTATTCGGATAGAAGCTTCATCCGCTGACAGGCTACACGCCCAGTTGCTGAACACATACCCATAGCTTCCCTCAGTCCCTCGACATATTTATTTGGCATGTAGACTCCAATTTCTGTCTATAAATACTGCTCAGATTGACGCCCTTCCCAGCTAACAGCAAACCCAACTTATATATCACCTTTTACAACAGCAAAGCGTCCTCCCCACTTGTATGTCCTTGTCACGCACGTCGCCGCTTTATACTCACGGTTTTTCTAGATCCATTACAATGGTTAAACCAACCTTCCTTGTCTACGCTCTAGCCACTGTGGCTGGTGTCCAGGCGTGCAAGAAGACCTGCACCAGTACCGGCGAAGTGAGCGGACGCTGCAACTATAAATGCACCGACGCATGCCCCGATCTGGGACCGACGGCGGCCCGCAATAAGTTTCTTTCTGCCCTCCTGGAGGATTATGATTGCCGAAAATCGGGAGCTGCCGGTCTATCCTGCAAGAAGACTGCCGCTTTTGGTTCCTGCGGTTCCCACTACTGGAAATGCGGGGACGATTGTTAGGCTGGCTCTACCATACTTCTCCGCGCCGTCAATATCATCAGGATGTTTGCAACACCCGGCGGGGAACGATATAGTTTAGCTGGAAATTTGGCCCGTTCATTGAAGGGTACCTATTTCCTTTTTATGTTACCAGCTATCAGTCACAGAATTGTGGGGGACATATGAGATGATGGGAGTTATACTATGCCAAGAGATGCCAATGCTAGCTACTTATTTCCAACCCATTCTATCAATTATATTAAAGGTCTAAGATATTCCTCCTGATATCACCCCTGTTATATGTTAAGAATATAAGCAGAATTTAAATATGGGTTATAACTTTGTCCCACTTGAAATACCAATGGATTGAGGCAGCACTAGATGTCACAGTTGTTCTAGACCGCTGTGCCATAGGGCAAAAGATTAGTCAATAATCGCTATTACGAATGCTGGGCACACTAGCTGCTCTTTTAAGCCAATCGTTGTCCAGAGGACCAGACCATAACACAATCCATAAGGCTTGTCCCGAGCCGTTGGAATCCGAGCCAGAAGGCTAAATGTTTATCTGGTGTGGCAGCTAGCTAACCCCTAAGGCTACACTGTACTGCCCTACATGCGCGTATTTAATTGGGCACCTTATCTCCTGAGAGCTCTTAGGGCTGCAACTCGTACCCTGCCCCACTTTATCCCTATCATTACAGCAGTACGAGCGGGGTACCTAAAGCATTAATTTCCAACCTTATACAGCTAAATTACTATACAATCTATTGCAATTAAAACAATGAATACATCTTCAGATCGCGGTGAAAGACAAGAAGAGGTCGATTCCTATGATGACAACAGCTTCTATAAGCAACACAAGGGCCCCGGCATAGGCCCCAAGGAGCCTGCCGGAGCTAATGATTTTCCGGCCGATAAATCTCGAGGCTTTAATTTCAGCCCTTTTATCGTACAACCTTGCAATTATTACATTAGTTATTTGCCTAATACACTACTTAATCTTTCTAACTTTTTATGCCTAAATTGCTGCTTTAGCAATAAATTAAATATACTAATAGCTAGGTTTATTACCTAATTAAATATAGCATAGTTAATAGCTAGAATAACCTACTTTAAGAATAATTATAACTCCAAGCTTAGGAAGGAATCTCTGTTATATAGATCGATATATAGCTTAGTATGCTAATTTATATATAAATTTATAAGAAAGGGAAGCTTAGAAGCTATTAGAAGGCTCCCTGCCTAGGAGAATAAGCCCTTTATACTTAGCTATTAAGTTTATGCCCTATAAGATATTTTAGTTAATTTACTACTGCCTTTATCCCTTTAATTATACTAAGATTAATAAAAATGCCCCCTTAGTAAGGGTATTTAAAGCTGCTAAAGAGTAGTCTAACTATATATAGAGGGTATTAGCTGCACTCTTTTAACCAGGCTTTTATCTTATTATAAATAAGTATATAATCTACTATATAGGCAGATTAATAATAATAACTATTATTAAAGGAAAGCTAAGCCTATTAGGCTTTAAGATCTAGGTTATTATTTAAGAAGGCTTCTTTATTAGATAGCTTTGGTATTATAAAGGCTTAAATTATAATGCCTTAGATAGAGGACTAAGGTAAAAGAGAGGTAGCCCTAGTAAATAAGATAAAGAGGCAGCTAATAAAGAGGCAGCTTTTATTATATAACTAGGTAATAGGCAAGGAGTTATTATTTCCTTACATAATATACTACTAATGTATGTGATAAGCGAGTGGCACAGATAAGCGAGTGGCACAGGACACTGTATAGCTAAAAATAGCTTACCCTATAGTAATTTAAATCTTAAATAAAATAATTAAAAATTAAAGTAAATTACTTTTAATAATAGTATAATTAGTATAATAAGAAAGTATTTTTATAAGATTTTTATTTATTTAAATTTATATATAAAACTATTACAACCCCCGCGGTTACGTCACATGTACCCCACTCTTTTCAACCTATCAGTAAGAGATCTAAGAATAATCACGCTCTTAACCATAATTATCTCCGGAGGATTATAAAGTAGACTATAATCCCTCCATTTTAATTACGACCCTAACTGTGATTGCCAATAGATTACTTTAGTATATAGAATATATTTATTTGCACTTTTATAGATTTAAGCTTACTAGCTATTAATAAAACTTCTTTATATTAATTAAGCCTAATATATATTAAATCTACTATTAAGAGATGTAATACTTCGATAAGCTTAGTTATACGCCCTATGTAATCTGCTAATAATAAACCTAGCACGGCTTAGTTTAATATAGTTAGACCCTAACTGTTATATGTTAATAGCTCTTATTTAGACCATACTGCATAACGCTAAGCAATATAAACGCAATAGCCGCCTATGTTAACCCCGTCTAGTAATATGCTATATCCTATGCTGCTCTAGCACCTATTAATAATAACTAGGATATAGATAATAATTCTAAGAGTAGCACCGACTCTGATATTGCCTATCAACCATTCAGCTACGACTTTGCATGCTAGGTCGTAGAAAATGCCATAGAAAAAAAAA